GTCACACTTAATACCCTGTTTAGGGTATAACGACAATTTTCAACTCGATCCTATTGAATGTTCGTAAAATTTGCCGAGTTGTCATTGTAGCAAATGAATATTGCATTGTTCTGTTGAATGTTGTTTCTATAAGTTCAATCGCTAAAATAACCAAAGTACATAATTTATTTTTTAAACACCTACGTACACCTTTATTAAAACAATAAAAATTGAAATACATGTGCTTCAACAAGAAAATTTTGTTAGTTATAACAGAGACTATGAAATGATAATTATCTTTAAAATGACAAATTAGCTTCTTTGCTAATGAAGGCTTTTGTACACATACATACATATATGGCTTCGTAAAAACGTTGCATTTGTGCCCGAATTCACTATTAGCATAGCTGATAACATTTGTCACTTAAAAAAAAAAACTAATATAAATAATGTCCCAAAGCACACATAATTAAGTACGAATGCATTTCGCACACCGTGCGCATTTAATTATTATTTATGTTTTCACATTAAAATGTACGGTCCCTTAAGCCCCATTTAGTTACCTTGCAAAGGTCACGGGCGATTGCTTCACAAATAGTGGAAATATTAGTATTTCCCCAAATACCAACAACAAATTGAACATCGATTTTATTTTCTGTTTTGTCACGCTTACACCGAACAATCTACTAAAGCTAATGAGTACCGTAAAAATAAATCAAACGATTATAAAATCGCATAGGCGAAGCTGGCGAGTAATTAACGTGAAAAATGTTCATTATTTATATTAATAAAATAAAACCCAACCAAAATTATATATACGAGTACATAGATAAAAATCTTTACATGTACTCATGCCCTGACATATCTTGTAAGGCGTATTTTAATTTCTTTAAAGATGTAAAATATATCTACATACGCAGATCGGTATATAACTTGAGTCTTGTTTATTTCTTGTAAATGCATTTCACATCTGTTTACACCTGTATTTGCTGTATATGTGTGTACAAACATACACTCACGCGAAAAGGGCACCCCGACTGCACATATGTATATACATAAATATATAGGTATATACAAAAACAAGCTCACTGATAAACGTTAACGTTTGAGTAAATTTTACAGCGTCGCTGGATTTTCAAGGTCATCAGCGTATCCGTAAAAGATATCGACACTACGCATGCGCATGTTGCCGAAAATGCGATCGTGATGCTAGCAGTGCGTAAACAGATGATATAAATGCATATAAACATAGTATATAATTATAGTTGTATATGTAAAGATATGTAGGCATGAGAGGCGTTTCAGTTGAGAAATTGATTTGACTTTGTTAATTGCTCCGATTTGTATTTTGTTGTATTTGTTTTTTTGATTTTTACAAACATAGTATTTGTCTATATATGTACATATATTGTATATGTATAACAAGGTTTCTGTTAATGTTGAACAAGCAGGATCTTATCATTTCCAATTTGCAGAACAAATATAATAAAGAATATCTTGAAGCAAAATTTATGCACAATAAAAAATCGAAAGAAAGTTATAGGCTGAATTTAAGAAAATAGTCCACTATCGGACCATGGTAAGATATAATTAATCATATTGTTATTATTCATATATTGGGAATTTAGTTTTTTAAAATTGAGGTTATGACTATTTGATGATATCATCTCAACTGAACTCGAGAACATAGAGTGTACATACGTGTAGTCTACTGCAAAGCAAAAGTCAAAACATTATGCTGTTTTCATTGCAGCTATGTATTTGTTAAGGGTGTTTCATATAGTGGTTTTTATTTTCATTTATTAGCTAATTTGAAAGCTACAGCCTTAGTTGCAAAAACTGCAAATAACTAGGGTCTAGACTTAGATATATTTACTTAATAGAAGTTTTCATTGTTTGTGCAACAGACAGGGTTTGGCGTCCATTTGCTCTATATAAAGCATCGTCCTTCTTCCCTATTTTATTCAAAGAATCATGTCAAACATAATCAATTCATAAAATAAGTCTAAGTTACTCAAACAGATATGCTCTCAATTATTATTACAACAGTTAACATTAACAACAACGCTATGAAATAAACAACTATTTATTCCAAAGGAGTAGACGAAAACTTGTGTCCAAAGCATTCATATGGTAATCGCCATAGCGCTATTTAATATATTCATTCCCGAACATTTTTGGAGAAATAACTACATTGGATGACACTCTTGCGGTATTTCCGGGAACGAATAGGAGAATGTCTTTATGACTGTGTACTTCGCAATGGTTGTGGCGTGTTACATAGTTTTGTGTTAGAAATCGATACAAAATCCGTTCTTTTTTGTATGAAAGAAGAGCTTTCTGCGTGGGAGAGGATTTTTCAAATACATATAATAAAATAATAATAAAAGTTGTAATAAAAGAGTAAAAGTAAGATTCTTCTTGCCAAACACAATAAATATATGATTAATTGCAAGACGAATATTAAATTAATTAATTACACCACCCTCAAAACCATTAGTGGATTTGCAAGACACGCGCTAAAAATAAAAGGAGAAGCTCTCTTGAGTGTATAGAATAGTTGTAGGTCCCAAAAATCTGAGGTGGATATTGAAAACAAGAGAAATTCACTGTAGACTCAAAATTATGTGCTCTGCAATAACAAAAACTCAAGAGATCCTTGAACTAGAGTAAGAATTTTAACAAGAAACTTTTCAGATAATCGTCTTTTAATAGTCAAGAGTTTTCATTGCAACTACTTTATAATCATTACATTTATGTCTTTTTGATAGATGTTAAATGCACGCATCATCGATTATCATTTTGGATATTGATCGCCACTTACGAAAAACCGGTAACTCAGACGTTTATTGCTGCAATTACTCACACATATTCCTGTTTTTGAATCATTTTCGGAGTTTCTAATGTGTATTTTATAACATTTTGCATTTACACACATACATACATACATGTACATAAACACGTATCTTTCACGAACTATTGTCTTTGATCTACTATCGTCCAATAACCTGCTTTCTGGCAGTGTGTAGGCTTTGGTTTTGGTTCGAAAAACAATTGCCCAACTGCATTTTTCGAATCTAGACTGAATTATTTTCGGACTTTGTGCGGCGTTCACAAATACATAATCAACGATTAGTGACCGATCGAATGACGGACGGTGGCTGTCACAAAGCCAGCCAGCCAGTACCGTTAATGGTGGGTTGACTGCAGCCGAAAACAAAGCGACAAATTACATACATACAAAATACTTACATATGGTACACATGCATGTATGTACGCTTATGTGCACGCGCATGCGTACATAAAATATTTACTCAGTTGTGTGTGTGGCTTTTCTGTTGTTCGATTGTTTTTGGTTTATGGCGTTGATAAATGGTTGTGCTGCAATAAACGGTGGGACTTAGCTTAGCTTTAGACTTAGATATACATACATACTCGTACATATGCTCTCGCCAAACCCAATACTTATATATTCTGCTGGAGACGGTGATTTCTTCATCCCACGCGAAAACTTGTTCAGGTCTGGAGTGCGCCGGACACACTATACATATGTTTTCGCATAGATATTCACTATATATTTTCTATACACCGCTGATCAAGTTAGGCATAGTTACGTTGTGGTTGCTTGGTGGTTCCATCACAACAACCGTTACACTTCAAGTTGTTTATTAAAATATTTCAAGAAACAGCAGGCCGCCTAGAAAAGGCTTTTACTACGTTTCTACTCACTAAACGACTGAAAGTTATGTTCACGAGTTTGTAATGAAAAGTATTGCGAAATTTCTTAAGCCTAGCGCTAAAAGAGTATGAAAGCGACGCGTTTGCAAAAATTTTATCGCAAGATCTGCTGGTGTTGTAACTTTTGAGTTACTTTAGCTGTGTTTGATACACAAGCACTTGCAAAGTGTTGATTCGAGCAAACAACTGATCTAAACTCAATTAACTCACTATAAGATATAACTAGGTAGAAAGTAAGGGGATATCTCTGGTGATAAAATCAGCGACAGAGCGTTGTTGTTTTTACACATATACATTTTTGTGAATAGAGCAGAGCTTAGATGTAGCGAACAGTGCAATGACAAAACGAAGACTTCATAATTCTCGTCAAACTATTGTATTTATATTGCTTGATGGGCCGCTTTTCACCTTCTTTTATACATGAATATCTATGCAACTCTTAGTTGATCCTTCGCCTTCGCCATTGAACTACTTTTATTTGCCTTAGAACGTTGGGTAGCTGACGTCAAAATTCCAATCAAATAATTCATCATTTTGATCAAAAATTGTATTATTTCGAAGCAAAATACTCAATTCTTAGAGAGGAAGAAAAGATTCCAACGTTTTAATACCAAAGCGAGTAAAATTTTTTAAGTTTTGATCTATGCTTCTAAGGTTCAATATTAATTCATATATATATATATCGAAAACTAACAATGAATTATTTCTGGACCGTATCGAAGATGTTTCTTGAAAAATGAAATTTTTATCCAATGTTTTAGTAAATTTTTAGGACGCCAGTAATTAAGTATAACAAAGCTTTGATCATGTAGTTATAGCTGCATAATCTCACTACTCACAGTACTCAATCTTAATTAAGAGAAGAATTGAGCTTTATGACAGAAATTGATGGAAAAATGTTTGACTGGTGACGTTGTGAAAAAAAGAATGGGAATGAATTATTATAAAGTTTTATCAGAGTACGATTAGTTTGAAAAAGTCCAATCGTGAACCCTGTTTTAGTAGCGCAAGCTGTACAGTGTATAGTTCTGAATATTTCGTTGTTGCTGAAGGAGGATTTACCAACGGAAGTTTACCTTTGATCAAGTGGCTCGCTATATATTAGCTCAGCTATTTAAATGAGACGGCAAGTTCATAAAATTCATTCGTCAACTTATATGTATGCCTAACATGGTGGCAAGTAAGAATGCCTACCGATTAGGAAAAAAAACCCATAATTTACATTAGCTATTTTAAGTAGAAGTGGTATAAGAAAGAAATATAAAAGTAAACTCCACTCTCGATGAATGATAATGTCACCAAACGCTACGGTAACTGAGACATTGCTTTATTTAAAGGTACATATAAATTTGAGTAAATATTCAAATCTCTCCTTGACTGAGATGGTAACAAATTTTAATGAAATATGTGTTTGAGAAACATATGAACCTGGAAAATATGGAATGATCGTTAACCGATCTTGCTTTAAACTGAGTTATTAAAACTATTTTTCATCGAATACACAATTATTATTGTCTTTGCATCTCTGCTACCTGTAATGTCTGCCCTTGTGCTTTGTTTATAGTGACAGCAAAGTTCAGCTTGACGGCAAAATGAACCCTTTTGAATTAAAAAGGAAGATCAGAGGGAATAATTAGTATAGAGATATGATAACGTGTTCTTCCTTATCGGCACCTCTTAATATAGTGGCTTCAAGAATATTTTGTCCTAATTTTCTAATGCGAAGCCTTGTTACATTACATAACCTCCGAACAACTAAATTTCGCTAAAATTTCACAATCACTTCATTTGTTTGTGCACAACCACTGATCACTATATTTTGGTGCAATTCCGGAAAAGCTGGAGAAATGAGACCATCATCATATTCTACTAAATTACAAAATTTTCTCGAAAACGAAATATAACCATAGTCGTCAACGTCTAAACAACAATCACCGATTTTCAACAATATTTCTGCTTAAACGCCGAAATCTACGTCATTCGTTTTCAAACTGAATTTTTCAAAAAGCTTGATGATAAGTGTCCGGTTTAAAATTTCTATTGCCTTGCAGCATTCTACCTTGCGAGCTATTTACTGAAATTACAAATAGGCAAATCTTCCGGGACAAGATTCAATGGTAATTCTTAAACAGAATGTGTCGAATGGCAACCGTGCAATAGGGTCGCAGCAATTCTGGAAGAAGCAACTGCAATTTCTAGTTTTTGATTTTTTTCATGAAGATTAATAATACCATAGGTTTCCGGTTTCTCCAGGTGGGAGAAAAAAGAGAGTTCTTTGCTATCTATTTTACGCATAACTTGATTGAAGACATGATTTTGCTCCGGACTCTAATTTTGTCACTTGATGCTGCAATTTTCTAAAAGCAAAGTTAAATTCTTGACCATTTCATTATTAAAATCATCTCCATTGGCTCGTTTAGAACTTTGTATTTCAAAATGATATTGCTTTTTTCGACTATTGTTAAAATCTTGTTTCCTATTATAATGAGTGTCTTCATTGAAAACCATATATGTATGCATTTACTGCAATTCATGTAAAGTTCCCATATTTTATTTGGTGATTGACATTGAACAACTTCCTTCATACTTTCGTCCGAATGATTATAATCATTGTATATATTATAAATACTTTATACAATAATTATAATTATCATTTTCTATCAATCGCCGAACTTCACATATTTCTCTTTAAGTTTAACATTCTTGACCATTGAATATCTTTCTACAAAATTTGTAAGACCTCGAATATAATGTAGTAACATATGGTACGCATTCAAACCTTGTAACATGTACCGTGTAGACACGACCAAGAGCGATCGACGTTTTAACCTCAGGTTGATTTTGAACAGGTTGATGCCATTTCTTTTTTGAGGTGTTCCATGTAAAATAACGGGGAACCTCAGAGTACAATAATGTTCTTGCGTAAGGATCGTTCCTACAAAGTTTGAAAAAATCAGTTAGTGCGGTTTTTGGAGGACATAAAATACTTTCTTAAAAGGGTTTCTCATAAAATTAAGCACGCTGTCGATTTTCCAAATGTACTGCAAGATGAAAATGAGTCGTATATCTTTTATGTAATGGAAAGTCAAGCAACTGCCACGCTACTGATTTATGTATCTTCCTTCTTGATAGGTTTATATTTTATTTATGAGCTAACAGTACCTTCATTATGCAGATTGAAGATCGCCTGATTGCTTTCCTTATTGATATACTTCAACCTTAATGTGGACCTTTTAATAATTTACACAAAATCGGCGAATAGGGCACAATCGTTCTATTATCCAAACTCTTTACTATACCACTCCGAACATTTTGTATGGATTGAGAAAAAATCTCTTCTGGAAGACAAACGACAAAAGAATTTTTTCATTTTTCAAATTTTCAAATGTGTTTACAAACAATCAAATCTGCCAAAAGAGATTTTTTCTCAATCCGGTAAAAATATAATTTTTCTTTTAAAATATGTATTCTATGATTGCCTAAGTAGTTTCAAAGTGAAAGCGTAACAAACATACTTATATTCACATTTATAATATTAGTGTGGATATGGATTTTGTAAGGTGTCCGATGTTTCCTTTTGTGTGATACAAACTTCGTGCAAAACTTAATATAACCTATTGAGGGTATAAATATGCGACTTAAAATACAGTACTGCGACGTGAATAATAATGATTATGAAATTTTTAAAGAAACGCAATTAAAACATGAGAATAATAAACAAACTAAATATACCATGATAGTAACAACTCAACTGTCACTGGTGTCTTCAGTGACCTTCAGGAAACTTTTATAAGAGTTAAGCATTCTTTTGCTACTCGCTTCAAAAAATTGAAATATAAATAAACCTTTTGTTAACTACTTAAAAGCAAAATTTAAAATATAATGTTATTGCACAGTCTGCAATGCGAGGGTCAGGCATTATACTCGCCTGTTTTTTATTAAGAAATTTTTGTCGTTGTCTTTTGTAAGTGTAAAATCGGCTCAAGTTCAAATTTATTTACAGAAAGCGGGTCAATCTGTTAGCTTGTATGCATGTGCATATGTATTTATAACTCAAAAATTCGGTGGATAAGAAAGTATGCAAGCGATGGTTTTGCCAAGATCTGTCGCTGTGCGCCCAGTTTGCGATCGATGACGTGCGAACAATGTAAATTTATGCAAAAAGAAAACATACATGCATGCATACCTAAACAATACCCTGGCTGATGAAGCAAAAACTGAAGCCAAACCCAAAAAGCCGAAAGGCAATGAAACTCATTGGCAGATTTAAGCAAAAATATTATAATTATTTTCGCATCAGATAAGATGAGCTTACCTACATATATACTAACTATCATTCGATCATACGTACATATATGCAGCTGTATAGTATTTGTGTATGCAATACGAGATCGGTTCGATAAGTACTTAGCCTACAAAATAAATTCGAATTTTGGTGAAATGATGATTTATTTCTCAATATAGTATCGATACTATTGACGCAGCTCCGATTTTTTTAACTCTTCTGAAGACTACTTTTTCTGGAGATTCGCAACGCAGGTCTTTGTACATCTTTCTTCGTCAAATTCCAATTCATCTTCCAATAGACCCGATCGTTCGGCATAATAAAACCTGTAATCCCTTTGTCCTTCTCCAGTTGATTAATGAACTTATACATCACACCTCGTGAATCTTAGAAACCGGGGAACAAGTTTTCAGTCAATAGGACAGTCTTCGTCTTCTTCGGAGCGGGTTCGCCTCGCGAAGTCGACTCTTTCGATTATTTTTAGGTCTTTGATGTGTACCAACGAATCATGTTTCGTCGACAGTTATAAAACGACACAAAAATCTATTTCGAATTGCGAGCTTGTAGCGCGATCGGATAGTGAATCTAATTTATTTTCGGAACGCAATTGACATACATACATACATACATACGAGTACTGCATATAATATAATATCTTAATTCAAGAAGTTTCATATATCGAATATATCAAAAAAAAAAGAAAAAACATTAAATTCGGTTGCACCGAAGCTATAATAGCCTTCCAAATAAAAAAGTTTTCAATACAAGAACTTGATTTTGATCGATCAGTTTATATGACAGCTATCATACGTTATACGCCATATATAGTGGTTCAATAACGGCGGTTCCGACAAATGAGCAACTTTTTAAGGAGAAACGAACATGTGCAAAATTTTAGATCGCGTATATATAGACAGACGGACATGGCTAAATCGACTCGTCACGCTGATCACTTATACATATGTATATGTACAAGTATATATGTTTTCGGATACCCAACATTTTTTACTGAGTGTTACAAACTTAGTGGCAAACTTACAATAATATACCCTGTTCAAAGTATAAAAGTCATATTCAATCAACTTTAGGCACATGAAAGGGAAAAACCGCAAGTTTGTGAAAAATAAAGCAAAACGATAACAGCTGGTTAAAAAAAGCCAAAACAATCAACGCGAAACCTTACAAAAAGGCATTGGAAAGAGCTAAGACTCACAGCTACGTGTGTACATAACTACTTTGTACCTTTCAACGGCTGGTGGGAGATGTGTCCATGGCTTTTCTCGCATTCAGTTTTGCTTCTTTAATGGAAAATATATGAATGTTATTGTTGATGTAGTTAAGAGTAGTAATCAACGGCGTCAAACCTTACTTAACATACCGCACAAAATTACAAAAGCATCATACATACATACAAAAATAATACCTAAATTTCCTACCTTAAATACATATGTATGTATGTACTTTTGTATGTAATATATGGTCATATAAATATACTTATATGTAGGTATATATTTAAGTATGCAAACATGCTTACATCGTAAGCTATGCAAATTTTTCGTGTAAACGCGCCGGTTATCTATTTATACCTTGTTTGTCATGGGAATTATTTTAATTTTGCGCTGATTATTAACGCAAAAATTAATTAAAATTTATTTAGAGAACAAAAGAAAATCATATTTAAATAAATCATAAGTTTTTAGCGTTTAAAAAATATATTTCTATACTCGTATAAACACGGCGGGGTATATGCTTAAATATCAGTTGGTTGGCTTGACGCATTTGATTAACAAATTTCATTTAATTTGCAAATAAAGGTATGCATAGAAATGGTTCGATATCTTGCGGCCTGTAAAATATTTAGCAATTTCTTTTACCTAAAATGTAATCAATAAATTCTTTAAACATAAAATCTAAATTTCTATTCTTTTTATACTCTTGCAACCTGCTGCTACTGAGTATAATAGTTTTGCTCACCTAACGGTTGTTTGTATCACCTAAAACTATTCGAGTTAGATATGGGGTTATGTATATATAAATGATCAGAATGAAGAGGCGAGTTAGCCGCAAATTAAGATACAAAACTGTAGTTTGGTACAGGAGATCGCAGTAGCACGGCACATCTGTGGGCTAAAAAATTTTTTTAAGTGAGCGTGGCTCCGTCCATTTAATGGCTTAATGTACATATCTTCCGAACAACTTAAGATATAAAAACTAAACTTGCTGAGGATAAGTAATTTTATCACCTCTTCGAACTCTGTGAAAACTGGTAAAATCGGATATTAAACACGCTCACCCTCCATATAACGGTCATGTTGAAAACTACTTAAAGTACGATTACTCAGTGAATAAATGGGCTTCATAGGATCTGGTGTAAAAATTGGACTCTTAAGTGAAATCCTATACCTCAGGAACTACTCGACCGATTTCAACCAAATTTGGTTTGTGAAGTAACCCAAACATTCCTATTAGACACTTTGCAGTGTACAAATCAAACATCAATAAAGTTTTCAGTTTTTCGCGGTATTTCATGTTACGTCCAAAAATCGAAATCGCACTGTAATTTGTGCCAAAAATTGCCAAAAGCAGCACTTCCCTTAGCTCCCATATACTTAACGCAAATATTTTCGAACTTCTGGTTCACTTTATACCGCATCTATCGTTCAATATGAAATAAATCTTAACGAAATTCAGAAAGAATCCTCTTTACTTAAATAGATGAAATCACGGCGATTCTTTCCTTAGTTTGATATAAAGTTTTGCCAAAACCGGAAGGTGTTCCTACGCCTTTGTTCCTTGCAAGTTGCAAGAGTATGAAATGTTCGTTTACACACGAACTTAGTCCTTCCGTACTTGTTAAATTTCGATTTAAAATTTAATGGGATCTAAACATACATTTTAACTAAAAATATTCAAATACGACTAAAATTAAAAAAATTTACTTAGATGAATGCATATACGAAACCTTAGTTCTTAGACGAAATTGTGAACCGAAATCATTAAATCGGATATAAAGGTGCAAGAGGAAGATTGGGCTTATTTTTTAGCATATCTCCCATATTAACTCATATTTTCGGTAGTCCACCATTTGCACGAAGGTTCTTATATTCGGTATCTGGGGTCTAGAAAAAAATTTCCTTTCGAGCGGTCATATTTCATTAGGTTTATTTTAGTAGTTCATTAATTATCTATAAAAAAATTAAATAATGCCTTATAAATGGCATTCCACGGAAAGAAGGCGTGGATGTTGAGCGATCCAAAAGTTTCTTGGTGGGTGGTGGTTAAAAAATGTTTTCACTAATTCACTAAGATTTGTTGACGACTTCAATACCTCTTTCAAAATAATTTTTTAAAATTTTATAAAATTCAAACCAAATATGCCCTTTACCATTGATGACTCTAAGCCAAATTTAAATTTTTAAATTAGACTATCGCCTCGTTTTTTGTTCGACGTAATCTTCATCCAAAATAATGTGTTCGTCCAACATTTTCATATCGATTAGATATATTTTCACATTGACCTTACCAATCGTGCGAAATGTTTTCCAGTGAACTTTTTTCCAGTGATATTTTCGTGAAAATAAATCAACAAATCTGGCGAATGCGGTGATTGGCGGAGAAATGAGTCAGATCGTTGTTTTGGTAAAGGAACAACACGGTACCCATCGCGTTTACGACTTTTTCATTTCTTAAAATTTTTGAATGATGTAGGTTATATCATTTTGTTCGTTTGAGATGCCAATGTGTTATCACAACAGGAAACTTACCTTTTCTATTTTAAATAAAAATAGCAGAGTTAGCATAACTTTGAGGCCGACAACTTGAGAATGCTTGGTCGAAATATCATGAAACTTCAACAGTATTTGAGTTGGTACTATAAGAGAAGGTTACGGCTTTTGTATTTGTGGCGTGATCTCTTGGTTAAAGATTTTTGAGCCCATATAGTAGATACTACTTATTGCCTATTGCTATTTCATCAATCTCTTCGAAAGCAATCAAAATTTTTTTTAAATCATTCGGGAAAACAAAAAACTCAACTACAAAGTGGTTAAAAGTCGAGTATATATATACAAAATAGCTATTTAAAGCAGGCTCATATTTATCGTTTAATTATTATTGTTACTAAACATCTAGTTCATTTCGGGCCAAAAATTTGTCTTAAAGCAATGCACCTCACTTTTCGACATTTCTAAATATTGGCATTCATATTAAGCGATAATCAAGAGGAATAACTTTTGAAGTGCCCTTTATGCTCACCTTTGAGTAGGATACTTGTATGATCATCCGTATTGATCATCAGCTATTTCCCGTATTTTTGAACGTACACCAGTTTTAATTTATTTGTGTATATATTGTACAATGTATATTATACATACACATGACTACATTTCATACTTACATATATGTAAATATGTAAGAATTATTCATATGCTTGTTTACCATCTTGTGCGGCGACAATGCAAGGGCACATTTTGCCTCCGGTCTTGAATGCTAAGTATAAAAATCGTTGAGATAAATAGTGCATAAAAATATAAACATAAATATCAATATATAACATAATAGTTCAAAGCTTTATTGTAATAAGATTTTGTAGATATTTAATGAGATTTATTCGACTTGATGCGTTAAGGCTTTTGCTCTTGAAGCCAATGTTTGACATTTTAAGTATTTTGGAAGTGAAATCTCACAGTGGCCGTTTAAAACTTAAATTGCAGTATACTGTACATATACATACACACAACTATATATATATATATATATATATATATAGAGTAATATATATATATATAGAGATTTGTAGACGCAGTGCAGCAACGAATGAGCAATTAAAGTTTGCCCTACTTTAAATAATTCGATTATTTGTTTTTGCTAAAAAATTGACAGTTTAATTCTTATAAATGATTAACACAAAATAAGCATGAAAATTCCATTTGAGTATAGTATGTACCATAAAGTGTAGTTAACTAGTTATTAATTACTTTAACACTAGTACCATGTTAACTAGTCAGTCAACTGTTTGTTTTGATATTTGTTACGTTGTTGTTGTGGTAATAAACTACGAATAATTTCAGATTTTCGTCAAAAGTTTACTTAAAATAGCCTTAAAAAAATCTAGTAGAATTTTATAAATATTAGAACTTTTAAGTAAAATTAAATTTTTTTGCATTCAAAAAAATATCAATAAAAGTTATTATTTTTAGTGTAAATAATTCTAGTAAATCTTTGACGGGAAATAAATTACTTATAATTGAAAAAATGTATAACTGATACAAGTATGGTTTTTATCGAACTAGTTTATTTTCAGTTAAAAAATTATATATCATTATTATTATTATTTTCTGACTAGTTAAGTTAGAAATATAGTATTTCTATAACCAATTAGATTTTTCACTGCAGGGTACAAACATATGTGTACTATATATATGTATAAACATTAAACAACACTATAAATCATGTAAATTTGTTTGTGTATTGAAAAGCTATTACACTATAATTAAATTATAGTTGTGAACTTTTGTCTACCTACAAATCTTGTTAGATTATTTAAAGTGTAAAAAATGTTCTGCAACAAATATGCAATACGGTTGTTTAAATCAATTCTCAGTCAAATTTATTCTCAGTTGAATTTAATATCAGAAAATATGTGGATAACTCATTTACTGGTTTAACTACTTGATATCTGTGCCTACTTGATTATATCTATGTATTTGATTTATACTAGTTGTTTGTTCGATTCGCTCCAGAGTTTTATGCTTCCATTACTAATATAAATATTAGAGACACACAAATAATAAAAATATTTTCAACTTATGAGAAATAAGATTTTACTTATTTTTACACATTTAGTTTCTTCCTCAATTATATTGTAGTTTGCACTTTTTCTGTTGCAAAAATAAGTGGAAAAAAAATTCGCGCAATCATGATTCCATGACGGAAAAAAGTTGACTGCTAATTACCTTATCTGGAAGTAATCAGATCTCAATGATTAAAAAAATTTAACACAAGTTATATGATATAAAATTTAGATTGGTGTAATTAACCAAAGTCTTAAATATGAGGCTACATGAAAGAATAAGAGTGACTGTGTAGTAATTATGATTAAAATAATGGTATATAAGGATTCATCAGCAAGAAACTGAAAACTAATTAATCTTTATATTGGAGTGTGACAAAATTTTTCTTTGGTTTTCCTTTTTCAGAAAATATTTTCAAAATACCGATCGACAAACGTATAGAACAAGTGTCTAACAAAGCTGTCGATATAGTAAGAATATGATTCTAGAAAAAATTATTGTACAAATTTTTAAAAAGTGATTTGTGATGAAAAATAATTTTCGGTATTTGGGCGCTCATTCAAATATGGCTACACTTTAACGAGGTTGCAATAATTACATTTGGATACGATTCTATAATCGGTTATGCAGCATATAAGAATCAATTAGGTCTCTTAAATTTTTCCCAAAACCACTACAATTACCTTATGTAATTCAAACCGCAACCTTTTTCGAAATCTTAGATACGCCCCTTTTTGACAATAACTAATGGGTATACAATGTATGAGCCCTTCATGGTAGCACCGAAGCTATAATACCCTTCACAAATACAAACGATTCCCTATAAAAACTTGATTGTGATCGCTCAGTCTGTATTGCAGCTTTACCATTTGGTATAGTCATCCGATCTGAAAAATGTTTGATTGCACAAGCCGCGCCAAATTTCGTGTCATATATCCACAATTGCAAAAGCTTTCCATACAAGTACTTGATTTCGATCGTTTAGTTTGTATCGCAGCTATATACTATAGTGGTCCGATATCGGCAGTTTCGACAAATAAGCAGTTTTTTGGAAGTAAAGTACATGTGGAAAAGATCGATATCTCAAAACTTAGAGACTAGTTCGCATATATTATATATAGACGGACAGACAGGCATGGTTAAATCGACTCAGCTCGTCATGCTGATCATGATATGCTATGTACATATATTTTATTGGGTCACCGACGCTTCCTTCTGAGTGTTAAAAACTTCATGGCAAGCTTAATACACCCTGTTCAGGATATAAAAATTTGTTCCAATAAATTTTAACTTAGTACGCTGTAAAACTTGTTGCAGAAGCGTTGCTGACACCTTTGAGCACTCCTACTGATGATTACGTATGGCAGCAAAAGTCGTGAATCATTTTGTAGTACCGATCACTATTGCTGGTAACACCATGTTCAGTTTTAGAAAGGTCTGGTCCATAATGCCTGCGACAAGCAAACCACACCAAATTTTACATTTCTGGGTGAAGGGAGCTTGGAGAAGAATTTCGAAAGCAAAGAATTTTATAATGTGTTTTTTTCGGAGTTAAAGCCTTAGTACCTTCAGTAGTACCTTCATACTTTTAACTTTATTTTGAATCCATTCTTTTTAAATGTATTTATTACTAAACTTGGAAATAAGTTAACAAACACTTCTGAATTTATATAAATAAATGTTTATATTTCCAGTTATTTCCCCAGAGTGTGCTTAATTTTGACTACTTAACCATGAAGGAAACGATTGAACAACTGGCAGGTTCGGAGCTAACGGAAAATATGCTAAAGATTGCGAAACGCGAACTGCGTGAAGATAAATGCTCGCGTGAACAAAGCTTGGAACAAATGCGCAACTGGGTACTTAAACACGAAGACTTACGAAATGTACGACTCGACGATCAATTTCTACTACGTTTCCTGCGTTGCAAGAAGTTCAGCGTCCCTATGGCCCAACAAACACTACTCAAATACCTGAATGTACGACGCACTTTCCCGCATATGAGCACACAGTTAGACTTTCTAGATCAAAAGTTGAATGACATTATTAGCAGCGGTTACATTTTTGCCTCACCGAATCGTGACAAGCACGGACGTCGTATTGTGGTAATCAACGCCAAAGGCTTCAATGCAAAGATCTACAACAGTAGTGATCAAGGGCGTGCACATTTCCTCACCTACGAGTGTCTCATGGAAGATCAAGCTACACAAATTTGTGGACTTGTTCACGTCGGTGACTTTTCCGGCGTCACCACAACACACGTGACCAATTGGAATCCTACCGAATTTGCGCGCGTCTTCAAGTGGAGCGAACAATCGCTACCGTTGCGACACAAAGAGATACACTTGGTGAATGTGCCGGCGACGCTGAAATGGTTGATCGATTTCGTTAAGGGGCGTGTCAGTTCAAAAATACGCAACCGCCTCACTCTCTATACACAAGACAAAGAATTGGGGAAACATGTTGATCCAGCTTGCCTGCCACAAGAATTGGGTGGTCAAATACCGCTCAAAGCGATGGTTGAACTTTGGAAAGCGGAATTGCTCGCCAAACGCGAGACTATACTCAACTTGGATAAGATTGCGCTGTTAAGCGATCGCGACATCTTGCGCAAAAGAAATTACAGTACCGAGAAGACTAGCAACGGCATGAATTTCGTGTCGCAGATCGAGCCAATCGAGGGCAGTTTTCGAAAACTGGAGTTCGATTAAGTTTCAAAAAGTAGTGGGTTATATGTTTCAAAACGAAAGAGATGAGATGGGAGACGAATGAGCCAAGCTCACAGGTGCTGTGTTGATGTGCGTGTTGTGTTAATTTACATTACTTAATGTTTAAGTTTAAGAGTTTACGAAGAGCAAGCAATTATAAACGATTTAGCTGGCGGGCGTAGAAATGAACGGTCTTGTGAAACGAACGCTTCATTTGGTGGCTTTGTTTAGTATTACATATAGAAAGTACGTGTAAAGACAATTGACTTATACATACATACATGTATGTATATACATATATTTATACGAGCGTATAGTGTTATATATACTTTAAATACAAATACAATGCTTCGTGCTTTTGTGTAACTGCGTAATGGCTAAATAAATCATTTGCTTACTTTTTAAATAATTAATTAATTTGTTTTTAATTTTTTTTTCGCTTGATCTGGCACGAAAGAAGAACTTGAGTATCCTACTGAAAATTTACACCCGTAATATCAGGAAAAACTAGTCTATACACACAACCGTTGTGCAAAGCTCAGCGCACTTGTATCAGCCCTTTGAACTGGGTCCACTGGCTAATAGAGTCGAAGAGTGCTTTACCGTCAACTTCGCTGTTTGTTAAATTTTGTAAGCCGTAAATTTTGTACTGACTCTGGAGTTTCTTTTGCCGCACCGACTCCGCAATAAGCGATAGCGTTGAGCGCAGCTGCAAAGCGTTGGGTGCCAGTGTAGTGTAGTTGCCTTTAATTAATAAAATATTACACCAACTTCGAAGCAACAACATCACAAACAGTCCTACCTATGAAAGCGATCACCAGTGTTGCATTTTGTGCCACCCAATTCAAACCGCTTTCATAGTTCCAGCCGCGTGCCTCATATGTCTGACGATCACCGCCGATTAGGAAGTTAAATGGCACCTCCTGCGCCATGCCAAGCTGCTTTTGATACTGTTAAAAAGTACTTGTATATATGAGAAAATAAATATTATTTCTATACATTAATAGTGTTTACCTGTTTTTGTAGTTCCCGTAGTATTTTCAGACATTTGTCTAATTTTTCACAACCAGATCCACCCGTCTGCATTATAACAATATTTATCACGTTAGAACAGTTAAGGAAGTCTGCAAGTGGCGCGGAAACATTGCTCCATATGTCACGATGCACCAGATCCAACGAGAATTGCATGGCCGGTATACGCGCTATAAAAAGGTTAATAAAGAAGACTCTGACTAACTGATAACTCATCCAATGAAGTTAGTTTTAGAACTAAATGAAGTGGAACTATGAGAATACAACTCAATTAATAAGCTTTTCAGTTGTTTTGATTTTCAGCATTGTGTTCAGCTATCTTTCTCTTAAGCTTAGTAATCGCTACAACATTCTAATCATTTTTAAAAATATGTGTTATATGGGGTCCTGACATTTGTTAGTAATAGGAGTTTTCATATCGGACTCCTAAGTAGTACCGTAACAAAAATCCTTAAAACTGAAGCGCTTGCTTTTATTTTGATACCTTTATTCCGAACTACAATCAAGATCAAATTTGACTCTGGACTGGTCCATTTAAACTTGGTCTTTGGCAGCTGTTTGTTTATGACGAGAACAGTTTGCCTGACGATTTTTACCATGAAAAAAAAATTGAACAACGAGTTTGCTTAAAATTCTATGTTGCCAATGTAATCACTATTAGATAGTCATTGAAAATATTGCAGAAGTGTTTTGGGTAGTCTATGTTATCACGTACAAAAGTATTTGAATGGAACAAAGCCTTCAGTTATGGTCGTGAAGCCTCTTTTAATGGCGACAACATCGAAAACTTTAAATGGATCAGGGTCAAATTCGAGGAGATGTTAAATCAGGCTTGATTGATTGAGGACTTTTACTTTTTAATTGCATTGTTTAGTCCATAGCATTGTTTGAAGTATTGATATCATGAGACATATACTTTGCACCTTAATCCCGTGAGCATATATACCTATAGTAGCTTTTATCTGAACTCTTACAATGAATAGTAGATAACCCGCTTATGAAAGATAATGGATTTTGTAAATCTAGAAGTATAAACAGCATACAGCTTACGAGTATCTACCCTGTCATATTTGTATCGGTATAGGTTAGTTCTAACATATAAGGTACCTTATACACTGTTGGCACATAGTACATATGTATATGTACATACGAGTACTTATGTACAGAATTTGTTATATATTATACTAAATAAAACAAAGCAATTGTTTATACATGGATTCTGACTCAAATCTAACAAACAAACAATTCATTTGTATGCAATTGTTAAGTAATTATTTTTTTAGTATATTCAAAACTTACATTCAGCAATCAAGAGATAAGTGGCGATAACACAGCCACCGGCTAGAATCAAAACAAATGTCATAATTTGCAAATATGAGCAGCAATCCCTTCTATACTTTCCCATCCCAGCGTTCTCATGTCCAGCATAATCTTCTTTGACACTCGAGTTATCATTGTCGCTGCCATAACTGCTGTCTGCTGCACTCGCACTGACATAGCCATCACTCATAGCCGCCGCTGCCGCCAACGATGTGCCACCATAACTTTGACCCTTCTTCAATAGCGGCGTCCGCTCGTTCGCATTCATAGCGATCAAAGTTGATTTGACTGTTGCCTGTGCTCTGGGAGATGGACGCAAGATGGGGGCATAAAATGAACCCCACGGCATCAGCAATCGTTCGCTTTTACGTATACCATCTTTGTTGAAATGAATGAGAGTTATTAGTAGAGTACGTAGTAAATTGAAACCAGAAATTAATTTGATTAAATGCCAAAAGTTGGTTAGCAACGTTTCCAGCTGCGCAAAGAATGCTTCATATTTCTGATCGTGTTCGTAATAGTTTACGAAATTGGCAACACTACGATTGCTTAGCTGCAGTGGCATACTCGAACTGAGCTCAGAATTGTCACTGGTCGGCGTGATAATATCTTTATGAACACAGCGTCGTACCGCTATCGTCATGGACCGACAACGGAGCGACAATCTACTAAGTACGATTTGTAAATATTTGATGGGAGCTTTAGAGACATATGATAGCGAGATATCTTCGTACTGTAGGCTTCATGTGTAAGTTTATATATATATATAAAAGCGCGTAAACAAGACATATGCCTATGCATATATAAATAAATACATATACAATACAAACCAGAATATACATTTATATTTGTTCCAGTTTTTCACGAAAAGATGCACAAAAGTTTAGAAAATGTACATAGAGTACTGTACTTTTGCATTGATCAGCTAATCATTAAATGAATTTTTCATTTGGAACCTTTTTTGTTGGTTTTTGCTTTGTAAGAGTTGAAAATTTAGTCGAAAATTCTTTTTCTAGTAACAATTTGGCGCTAATAATTGTTTTTATTTTTTCTATTTATGGTACGGCTCTTAATGATATCCAGTAACTGCATGGCTCTTTAGGTTTAAAATAATTTCAGGAAGGGTAATTGGCATTTTATTAGTAGAAATATATCAAGGGGCTGGACATTGGACATCGAAATTAAGCTTGTAGTGCTTCCAAAAATGCTTATAATTTCCTTCGGTTAGATAATAAACTCGCGACCCATCAGAGAAAAGGCTTACAGAGTACGAAATCGTTGGAATACCTAACCTGCCTGAGGAAAGCTCTAATTGAACTTTTACCGAAATGGTAAGTTTTACAGGGAAGATAATTAAACTCGCTTGATCAAAGATTAATCCAAAGGAATATGTCAATTAGACTTTATATAAGTAGTTTAAACATACAAGAAGTGTAGATAACAAATATTTCTTCAAATATTTGACGATTGAACCTCTCCTAGACATTTAAGCGAGCTGCGCCTCTATTTTTTTGCTTCCTTAGATGTGAATCTGCTTCCAAAAGCCTGTTGGATTTTATATGAAGTTTATTTTATGCTCTTTCATTTTCATGTTGTTGACGAATATTATAAAGACTGAGGCGTTATTAATATTAGAAAGAATAGTTTTCTATAATTTTAGTTTCTTCCTCTGTTGTCATTGTTGTAGCGGAAAAACGAGTTAAATACTTTAGACACTCACCTGCCATATCGTAAACGTAGAACTCGAACCGTATTTCCACAAAACTTCAAGATTTGATCCTCAACTAAATTATTGTGTTATTTGCACTTTCTTGCCCTTTGTTAGCTTTTGAAAACTTTATTGTTGGAATGTGCTGTTCGTTGTTGTTGCTCAAGGCTGTCAGACGTCAACCCGCCAATTCTGATCCGCGAAACCAATTGTTGTAAAGTTGTTCATTATTTTAACAAGCGAATGAGCACTCATCAGCGATTTTTTTTTAACACAGCTGTATGTATGTAGGTTAACAGAAACAATTATTATATTTGAAATGGCACACGGCTGTCTGGTCCACACTTTTCCGGAGCAATTGCACTCTGCGACCACTGTTGCTGAGCGCGGCTTTAATGAGTTTGAAACGATCGCGTTGGCGGACAAGCGTTTTGAATGCGGAACGCTGATGAATTGATACCGTTCAATGACTGACCACAAGTTCTGATACTGCGGGATGCATGTAAACAAACGCACATAAACAAACAAACTAATGCTATAGGCATATAACAAACACAGTCGTAACACATTCCATAAATATTGTATTTGTAAATTAGGTTGGCCCAGAAATGAAAATTTTCTAATAATTTGTATAGGACTCTTGCAATATGTTGTTACATAGTATTATATAATAGTTTTGTTCACCTAACAGTGGTTTATATCAACTAAAACTAATCGATATAAATAGGGAGTTATATATGTATATATAATACGTTAGAGATAAAAAAATTTTCAGCTAGGATCATTCAAGAGGACTTTATGAGAACCGTGGTCAAAATTGTACGATGGGCATGCCACCGCCCACATTAGGGTGAAACCCCATATCTCTTTTACGGGATAAAACGTATGACGAATAGTGACTTTGAGGTGCGTCACCTTATAACATAAAATTGTCTAAATAATACTACTTGTAATACTATTCAAGCACCCAAATACCGAATATGTGGACCCCAGTACCTACAGCGCACATTTTATCGAAAATATCGGTCAATCTTTGAGATATATAATATTATACAAATTAGAAGATAATCCTTTTCTTATAATAATATTTCTACAAGTATATGTCAAAAGTGGGTATATCGGGTCAATAATTCTATTAAACGAAGATGAGATTAATATAATTTATGCGACGTGATAGAAAGATTTTCGAACTACCGGATGACTTTACATACATATTGATTTTCGTTGTTCAAACAAACCTTATGCACCCTGACTTTGATCCTGGCAAGTTACAAGAGTATGAAATGTTCGGTTACACCCGAAGATAGTCCTTTCTTACTTGTTATCTATTAGGATTTTATATAACGGCCATATATTTAGAAGAGTATTTTGGAGGAACGGGTTTGTTGGGGTTACGTAAACTTGACTGTCCTGAGAACGAATAGAAATTGCATCTTGTAATGCTATCGAACAAATTGAGACTTAATCTAGTGAAAGACTTGCCAGTAAAAAAAATACACAAATTTAAGTTTTTTTTAGGTTATTTAGAACATGTTTTTTAATTTAAACTTTTTTTTGCAGAAACAAAGCTGCTTAAAAAATAAATAAATAGGCTTTTAGTGAAGAGTATTACCATATTATAGATATAAAATTCTTTTTCCTTTTAATAAATGACCAACCCTAACGCGCACACCATCTTTCTCGTCCGCATGGTACCAGGAAATATGAACCACTTTGGGAGTCAGTTTATTGAAGTTTCCAAACTACTTAAGTATACTTATTTTTAATTCGAGAAAACTGACTATACCATACACCATGTGTTCCTCGACTTGGTAGCCTTTAAAGACTTTAGAATTTGGAAGAATATCTTGGATCCACTCAATACAAACGAGCTTACAGATACATCTTTTATAAGAGTTTAAAACAACTGGTTTAAAAAAAAAAACGAAATTTCGAAAAATAAAAATAAAGTGTTCAATGCAGAAATATTCCAGCTAAAAATAATCTCAAATTCCTTTAATCAAGTCCTTCTTAATAAGCAATACAAAGTAAAAGCAGCAAAGACGACAACATCCATTGTACTTTGGGGATGTTTCAAAGAAAGAGCTCTAAAGAAGAATACTGCTATAATAAACTTTTCGCATCGATAACGAAAGACATCATCTGTCCAGTTTTGAGAGTATTTAAAATGATACTACCTGAAAAGAAGGTACAAATATAAATTTGGCGATTGCTTTTAATGTTCTTAAAAAGCGAAGAACAAGAGGTGAGGCAGAGAGAAGTTTGAATCTAATCCATGAATGTGACAAAAGAAAAGTTGAACAGTTTTATGTTTACGGTTAACTATTAAAATCATATTCTTTTTGAACCAGTTTATCTCTTTGAAATCATTAAGATTTCGCACAGGGTATTTGGACAATAATATATATTTGGCGTACATGTGCGTGAATGTATTTCACAGACATAACACAAGCCGCTTCTACGCAAACATGAGATTTCATAGTACTAAAATGGTGATTTGCAGGTCATCTCGCTGAGATTTACACATGGCCAGTTCAGTGTCTTATATACTATGCACATGTTTATATTCATACACATAAGAATACCTCCGATAATATGCGTAAACGCAAATATGCTTATCTTGGACACGAGTCTACCATAGTCTGACGGGGATGTCTTCCTCATATTGTTATGATAAATTTAATGACTGAAAGAATTAGATAATCTGGTATATGCCTTTCACTCCCATTGGCTATAACACCAAGACAAAAATGAAAAGAAAGATTTGAGAACTCATATTTTTTACTAAACAGATAGAATACAATCGGGGTAAATAAGTTCTGAGCGTAAAAATATTTGAAAATTATGGATGGAATTTGAGGATGTTATTAACTTAAGAAGTTAATACGATCGTTAAATATGTTACAGAGCGTTTAGCGTTGGGCCTAAGTGCTATCACTGTTTGTACCAACATGAAACAATTCTGTCATGAGAATTCTTCTCATTAGACTTTCGGAGTTGGCTTAAAATTTGGAAACCCTGATTTTTTTAAATTCTTGAGTGATTAAATGTTGCTAAACGCTGCTGTGGAGACAGTCCTTGGCCGAATATGAGTTCCTGGTCGTCGCGAATATCCGAATTTTTGTCGAAGAATGTTAGATGTTCCTTAAGTTTAGCCATAGAAAACAAGCTATCTTTACAAATTGCTTATGAGTGGGTTTTAGGGGAAGCAGTTTCCGATGTCATAGGAATACCACTTAATTTTACCTACTCTAGTATTCAGAATACTGCTCTTGGAGTATTGTGAGGAAAAGTCAAGTCTTTTATAAATACACTCTTGGTGCTCCTGTGAGTTGGTACTGTGTGATACACGATGATGAAACCAGCATAGCAGATATTGCTTTCAGATCTGGTTGTGCTATTGTAACGAGAGAAAATATATCCATTTAGTTTGCCACGTTGATTGTAACCGCTAAAAGAAATTGTCGGAGACCCTAGCTGGATTTGTGTGACGAGCTGAGTTGATTTAGTCATGTAAGTCTGTGTACGCGTGAGCGAATTCCTCAGTTTTTGAGAAATCGCTCTGCAATTTTGTACACATCATTTTCTCACAAAGAAGTTACTCATTTATCGGAGGTGCGATATCAGACAACTATAGCTTATAGCTACCATACAAACTGACCGATCAAACTAAAGTTTTTGTATGGAAAACAAGGTACTATGTTCATAGGCTTAGGTATGGGTAAGATTATTATCCAAGGCATTGCTAAAATCTCCAAACATAGTGTTCAGATTGCACCACTATAGCATTTAGCTGTCATTTAAACAAAACGATCAAAATAAAAATAAAAATATGTTTACATCCTTTTATGGTATAAAAAATGCCGAATATTTCGGGGCAACTAGAGAGGGGCAAAAGGAGAGTATTGTATGCACCAACATGCATATGTACTTATATCTTTCTGGGTAATAAGTAAGTTGACTTAAGCAAAGGCAAACAATTGTATTGCTAGTAAAAATTTATGCATAACCGTTACCTACACGTTATTAAAATTCAATAGCGAGTCTCGAGGAAGTTAGCGAAAAGAACTCACATAGTCATTAACTTAAGTGGACACTTTAATACATGCATACACATAAAAGTATTGCCACAGATACACATAATGAATAAGGAAATTTTGGCAATAAATTGAATGATTGTAAATAATGATTTCAGAAGCGAATGGACGGATATACATATATTTAATGGTATATGTATTTGTACGTATTGAATTCTATGCCAAATTTCGTTATCAGCGGTAAATAACATCATACGCTGCAGTCGTCAAGTGTTATTGTACTTACAATTGAGCTTGATGCTTTAGTAAACGACATAACAATTCATATTTTTCCAACTTTATTTATTTATTTATATATTTCTTTAATTTGTATTATTTTTTGCATTTTATATGCGTTTATTTCACTGTTTTTATATTTTTTTTGCGTTGTATTAGATACATTTGAACGTTTTACATTTTGAATTAATTATTAAAACAAAATTACGCTTTATAAGACGATTCCAATATATTATTTATTTTTTTGTATTGCTAAACATTTATTATTATACTTTCATTAATTAAATTACTTTTGAGTTTAATTTTTTTTGTATGTCTAAACGATTAAAACAATATACGCTTAAACACTTTTCAATGCGAATGTAGTTTATTGCTATTCAACACCAATACTTTCACAAAAGAGGCTTAGAACAATGCAGATAACCGATATATGAGTTAATCGGTATGTATGCAATAACACTCGAATAATAATGCAGTCTCGAAATGAAGTAAAAATTTTAAAAATGCACAAATTTAGTTTCTTGTTCATTTTTACTTAAACTTTTAGCTAAGCGAAACATTTAAACGTACAATTAATTTAATAAATTTTCACCTTACATTGGTATTGTAATCGAACAAATCGTCTTTTGGTAAACTTTTGCAATTGTGAATTTCGTAGCCAAAATATTTCCACACATTTTTTTACACTAACGCCTTATTTTATCTTCATTCTTACTATTTGTAAAAAAAAAAATACAAAATAAAAGTTCGTTAATTGCATTAAATAAAAAATTGGGATGTTTATCCACCAACAACTTCCAAGTATTTACTATTCCACGCTGAATTAATGCAGTTATTATCGCTGCAGTTAAGCCGCCTAATGCATCTCTTTGTGTGTATGTGTGGTTATTTGGATACTGGTGGTGATTGTGGTACGGTCGCGAGTGCGTGGAGGCGCAGTTGCATGCAATAAAAACGATAAATGTACAAATATCTGCAGTACATTGGTGTGGCATTGACATTCTACTTTTCATCTAATCACAAAAGCATGCAACTTCACTCAGACAATGCGGCTGGGTGTTAGTAAGCTTAGCTACTTGTACGACCGCCATATTTGCCATGCACAGAATGCTGCTGATAATAAAGTGACACTGCGATGCAAATATTTGGTTTTGTTATTAGGCGAGTAGCCTAGTATCATAGGAGCAGACACATCTCCGAGTGGTAATTTGCTTAGGATTTCATCATCGCTTTCCACCTTATGTGAATAGAAAATAGAAGTTTATTAAATTCCAAGTAATAACAGAGAGAAATCGATTATACATAAGTAATCAGTAATTTTTGTCTTGATAATATTTATATTGACAGGAAAAAAATAATACCTGATACTGGCAGCATGGATCATAATTCCAAGATACTGTGTATAATCCTGCACAGAAAAGCGAAACAGCGCACATTGGCGCTGCAATCACTGGCCGATCCCGCCATAACAAACTAGATATGAGAGAAGCGACGCCTGAAACTACGGCTGTTTTGTGTAAGCAATTACCAACCGTTATCCATCGTTCAGTTTCATCGCCCAACCTTGGCGGTTCGATAATTATGTAATCCACTTTAGCCTCCAACGCTTTGTCCAGTTCAGCTTCAAAGCGTTCATGTGCATTAGTGCTTTCGTAAACCTCACGTATTATGCGAAAGGTTGGTGCGCTTGTAGAACTGTCACAAAAAGTTGAAAAACATACATATGTATAAAACGATTCGTGCATGTAGACAAAACTAAAGTTTATGATTTTCTTATCGCGGACAAGCAATTATATTAATCTGGCATAAAGAAAATTTATGTAGATAGGTATATGCTTTCAGAAGAAACATTTGTGCAATTAGTTAAATACATTTCGTTATGTGAGCAATATAAGCACTCCTTAAATTGTTGTGAGTAAATATACATGAATATATGACTAACATATGTGCAGTTCAAGGTCTCGGTCACAATATTGCGTAGTAGACGTGACGCAAAAAACAGATACAAGTAATATCTGGAAGGGTGAGACAACTTCACCCATCCCTACTCCCACTCAGCTGTTTCTTTATTATTATATTTTTGCAATAAAAAAATAATTTAAAAATACTATATATACCATGTACTTTCATGGCCTACTAGTATGAATAACCTTTATGTTCAGCATTAAATACGAGACAATAATAAGGAAAGCATTAGACACTTTCGCACGCAATTTATTTATTTTCACTCGCGCTCTTGCCTGCACATTCTCTGCGTCTATAACAGCCGGCTACATAAAGTACTTTCAACGCAGCCACACACAACACACACACAAATTATGATATATTCTATTCTCCATTTGAATTGCATAACAAAAATGCTGAAATATTAATATAATTCCAAAATACATATAGTCCTTTTTGCACCAACCTATCCTCATCACTTTTTCTCATTTTTTATGCTATTGTCTGTGTATTTTCGATGTTTTTGAATATAATCACGCTCACAGCTTCCTTCAAAAATACCACAATCCCTCCACACACAAAATCACAGCGATGGACAAATCGAAAGCCAATCGGATCGAAGTCTGTCTGTGTTTGGCATTTCGCTTTGTTGTCATACTATTGTGACTGCCAGTTATGGGGAATTCACAGTAATGATGCCTTTTTATGAGTAAATAATATGGCAAAATAATAACCTGATCATTATGCATAACGTATTTGAACCCTCAATAATTAAGCAAATAATTAATATAATAATTATTGTTTATGTACGCAAAGTAATTTATAATAGCATTTTATTTATTATATGCAAATATAATCCAATTTACTATATTAATACATTTATCACACCACTGTGAAATTGGACTGACTTAAATCAATTAGCTTTACTATTTTCAATTACAGTGCTAGTTGTCCTTAAGCTAAGATCGCTTTCATTAATAGAATGGTTTAGTGATGCAAAATCCCCAGTATTACAAGAAATAGACGGTATTTCGAAACTCGAAAAACCTCGATAATCAGTTACTGTCGGTTTCAACGGCGATGGAAGCAATGTTCCATTTGTGGGCGAATCACTGTCCAATAAACTACGCCCAACTGTACTTCCATCTTGGACAACTACTTGCAGATCACTTTCTGTCGACGATTTTTGTGCAAGGGGATCGAATTCTTCCAAATTTAATTTCAAATCCTCGGTAACACTGTTTTCACCGCTGTGGTCGGATAAATCAAAGTCATAATTTACATTTGTAAGTCCACCTCGCAAATCTGTGCTAATTAAATAATCATCAGTGGAATCAGAATGATCTTCCAATAGCGAAATGGCATCGAAAGGTGTATAATTAAAAATTGGAGATGTGAATTGCAGGTCAGAGTTTGGCTGTGCTGGTGGTAGAGGCGATAGCCGACCAATCGATGTAGTACTAGTGTCTTTAAGTGCCAATGTGTGTGATGCGTCCTCCAAAATATCAATTATTTGATTTGTGCTGTTTTGTACTAAAGGCGTGGGAAGAGTATTTTTTGTACTCTCTTTTTTCGTTTTCTCATCGGCGGTTAATGCAGCAATCAAATTAGCACTATAATGTCCAATTGATTCGCTGGTCGCTAAACCTGTTTCACTCCCATTTGCCAGGTGAGCTCTTGCTTTACTGATTAAATGTGGTGGTGTTTTTATGGGCAGGATAGTTAGTGGGGCTTTTGTGATGCAAGCATCAACTTTATCGGAAATCTCCCGCTTGTAAAGCAAAGCAAAATATTCAATTAAATTTATACATGCTATATTACACATAAAAGAAGTATTAATTATTGTACCTGAAACTCTTCGAGGTCTTTACGGAAATTATCAATACCAGTAGCAATGCTAGTATTCCGCTTCTTTAATGATTCCATGCGCTTCATATTCTCCGATATCAAATGTAATCCCTCACAAGCCAACAAAGCGCTTTCCCAAGGTGTACTGAATGCTTTATCTCCTGACATGAGTAAATCGAATTCTTCTTCTGTGATACCCAGACTTTCGCCATTTAAATTCTCAATAAATGAGATTGCGCAGCACTTTGGTTTTTAAAAGAAAATCAATAAAATTTCTGTAAAATATTCGAAATGGCATACATATATACATACCAGATTCGTGAAATAATAACCACCTTCACCACTCATTAAGCGTGATGCATTAGTAAAGCGTGTTACGAAGTTTACATTGCTATGCAGTCGTACTGGATTAGCTTTTAACACAACGAAAATGAGAGCAGGAAGAAATTCATCTGCGCTTGCCGGACCTCCAACTGAATGCTTCAGTAATTCAAAAATGTGGCGACAACAGCGCACTGTGCACTCCAGTTTCTCTTGTGGTGAGTAATATGAATCGATGCCTACCAGTTCTAAAATGTTGAGAAATATAAATTAAAATTTAAATTAAAAAAAAATACTAAGACATGCCTGTTATAGCATTATAGACCAGGTCTCGCGACTCCGCATTAACTTCATCAATGCTGCATACTAAATGTTTTGCCGTTATCCAACTGAGTTGACGTATGCGTTTTTGTATTTTTACATCGTTTTCTTCATCGAGCGTGAAATACGGACTAAATAGGAATCTAAAATAAGGATTTTAACAAAATTAAACTAAATCATATTGAAACAAAAATATTGATTATTTTGCAATTACTTGTGATTTTGAGTCATGACAACTTTTTCGAAGAAATCGATTGCACTTTCACGGTCTTCGTTGGTGGCAATTTGGAAACGTTGGTCATTGTGCACTATATCCGCCAGTTTGGTGTATGCATTTTGTACCATCTCTGACAATTCATCAACATTTTTATTAGCACTATTATTCATATAACTGCGTATGGCATTATCTAGGCGTTGAATTTCACTTTTTAGTTTACGCTTGCCATCATCAGGTATGCGAAGTTGGCGTAGTTGCAGCATAAATTGACTTTCGGTGGGATCGGGCACATATGTTTTTTGTCCTTCATTAAAATGTTAACTTTTATTTCGAACAGAACTTAAAGCTTACAGGCTTACCTAAATTACCGTCCTGTTTTAATTTTTTACTCTTCAGCGTATTTGATTGAAGTGTTTTTTGAAATACAGCTGGCACGAGTGATTTCTTCTTCGTAAGAGTACCTGTCGATATTTCCGGCATACTATCCTGTCTCTTGTTTGGCACTCGCCCCAAAAGGTTTTGTGGGGACAAGCGACCAGCTGTGCTCGTGCCACCGGTATTCGTCGAATTTGCAGGCGGAGGAAGTGCATTCTGCTCTGCTTTATGTCAAAAGTAGTAAAAAGTCATAAATCGTAAAATAACACATATATTTTTAGAACTCATGAAGCTGCAACTAACCTTTCTTTCTTTTATCGTTTCGTTCACGAAAACATTTGGAGCAGAGTCCATCAAATTGGGCATTTCCATAAAATCCGCAGCCTTGACGGCATTTAAGGTCACGTTGTACAATTCGTAATTGGGGAACACGCGCTAGTGACATATCTAATTTCCTATATGAGTATTAAACGGTTTTCTAATTTTCAGCACTATGTTAATTATAAGCAAATATTTATGGCGAAAATTTTCTGGCAATAAAAATTAATCAATGTTCGTGTCAGTCACAATCCGTATCTATTAATTTTGTTTTGACAAGCATTTTCGCAAATTCACAATAAGTATGTCATTGTTTTCTTTTTGTTTTGCTTTTGCCCACCAAAAGCGGTGTTCACGAAGAGTGATAATAAATGCTAATACGATGTAACCTTATCGTAAGATATTCAATTTTGGCTTACGAATACCGAATTTATTCAAAATCAAATTTAAATAAGAAGGTATTTATTTTTGGTAAATCAGTTTGAATGGCAGCTATATGCTATAGTAGTTCGACCTGAACAAAATGTTTGGAGATTGTTGCGTTGCCTTGGACAATAATCCATACCAAATTTCATAATTATTTCTTGTCAAATAAAAACGATAAGCTAGACTCTGATCGGCTAATTTTTATGCCAGCTAAGTGCTATATGATCTGATATCGGCGATTCCAACAAACGAAGAGCTTATGGCGAAAATAACGTGTGTAAAATTTGAGATTGATCTCTCAAAAATTAAGGGTCTAGTTAGCGTATGTTCAGACGGATAGAAGGACGGACGACTCAGCTCGTCACGCTGATCAGTTTTACTCATACATAAGTATATACTTTATAGGGTCTCCGACGTTTCTCTAGTTGTTACGAACTTTATGGCAAACTTAATATACCCTGTTAATACAATGCTATATTTAAATCACGAAAACTAAACTTTATATTTGAAACTATATCTCTCATATCTTGATAGAAGTGCAGCATGTTCAAAAATCGGAAATATATAAGTAAATAAAGAAGCCATAATTAAATCGTAGTGCTTTATTAAATGTTTTCTTTTTACATTTAAGATTTACTTTAAACATAATTTATCCATTTTGTAAATAAGTTTTCGCATACATCGAAAATATAGGGTAAAAGCTAAAAATATTACTTCAAAATTATAAATAAAGCCAATATTTTGGTATTTAAGTAAGTCTGTATGCAGTCCAATATGAATTCTTTGTTTACGTGGTTGCTATTAAAGTAATTAAGTGGACGAATTTATAAGTCGGTGCTTATGCGTAATATTTCGCTGTGAGAAGCTTGCGGAAATAATTAATGATTACATTATATTAGTAAAAAAAAAACAAAAATTTCAACTATTTATTAATTTTTGTAAAAAAAATATAAGTTTCTACTATTTATGAATTAAATTTTTTTTCGAACTCATGGAAAAAAATAATTAAAATAAATAAAGGTAGAAAAATGTAACGGTTTTTTTTATAAGTTTTTTTGTAAGTTTTGTAGCGGCTTGAATGCTTTTCTATGCTTGAATGCAAATTACAAATAGATATTAAATTATTTTTTTTCTAACAAGCAAACCCATTTAAAATGCTAACAATTTCATGCAGACTATATCACTAGTTTAAAATCAGACAATTGGCAATGTAAATACTTATTTATGTAATTTTGTTTTTTATTTACTATTATTATATAATATTTTGCAATTATTTTTTGTAACTACAAACTACAATAAGCATTTGGAAAATTCGCTCAGACAATTCCTACATTCTATAAATGATGTTCCCTGCATTTCTAACAATGGTTTATTATTAATTCCTTATATTCACTAATTAAAGAATAAATTAAAGTTTTTTGAATGACCTAATTGACCCTTACCACTGAAAGAAGAATATGTGATTCATCAATAAAAAATATAAAAAATTTTTAATTTTCTTCGGTGCATTTCCAACGTTCAAGTATATTTTTTATAACTACAAGTGTGATATTTGGAAATAATTTTGATTCATATTTTAACGGTATTCAATGTTCTAATTCACTACTTCAATAGCTGCGCAATTCTTAAAAACATGATTCAGTTTGTTACGACTTTGCTTGACTTTGGCTTCAGCTGCTCAAAGATTTAAAGAGTAAACAAACTAGGGCTTTTAAAATTATTCGAATCACCCGAAACTCGATTATTCGATTATACGGTTTGTAACCGTTTGTAGGTTCTTCCGCTACTATTCGAATAGTTGCTCTGCTGCGAGTATTTGAATAAATGAAAATTGTTTGAAATCCAAGCAGCCTTTGATTTTTGAGTTTTAGTTTTTTTTTGTATTTTTAAATGAACGCTTACGCTTTGAGTGGCAAACCGAATAGTCGACAACTTACGACTATTTGGATAGTGCAAACCGAATATTATTACTCGAATAATGCCCTATCCGGTTAGTCTGGTTAGTCGAATACCAAGAGCTCTAAAGCAAACCTCAAATCTCTGCCTTCTTCGAAACTACCACTCTTTCTTAGCCCTTTACTAACTAGCTTGCTAGCACACGAACCTAGCGCAACGTTTTTATATATAATACTATATTCTACAAGTATATGTATGTAGGAGTATGTATGTGTGTGTTTGCATGACTCTATTACAATATTTTTCTTCAATAAATTGATCTTTTTGATTAAAAATTTAACATTTCTCTATGCGTAGAGTTTCTTTGGTTTTGATTTTGTAACATTGATTCTCTAATACTACTTCTCTCATTCTAAATAGTTTAATATATTATATGTATGTTTGTGTTGCTTATTAAATACATAGATTTTAATATAAAAAAGTTCAAATCTCATTCAAAAATTCCTTGTTTCTTTAAGTAAGTTTTGTTTTTGGTTTTTGTTTATCAAATTTACACACATTTGCCATATTTTGCATTTGTGCGAGTAATAGTCTGCGACTATTTCAAAACATGTTATAATTTCTGCTCCCTCAATAATTTTTCTTTTACACACGTATAGAAAATAAGAATATAATTTTAGTAAATGATATTTAAAAAAGTTCTACACACGTATAGAAAATAAGAATATAATTTTAGTAAACGATATTTAAAAAAGTTCTAATATTGATCCCATTTTTAGCTTTGGTTATCCGATCTTGAATTTCACACAGCATCACTAACTAATCTTAAAAAAACAATTTTCAGTGTAGCTGAAACCCGAAATCAACAATCGTCAATAATAATTCGTTGGAATAATGAAAGACTTAAGTTGGCTCGAGAAACCAGATCGACCCTTAAGCAATTGTATTCTGGATATTGTAATGTTAAATTCGTAGTTATATTTATAAATCGGATCTCCGCCTTGATCGGATTAAATCCCTGTAAATTTTGGTAACGTCGACCTATCTGTCATGAAGATAACGAAAAGCTCCCATTGACTTGAGAAACCTGATACCTGATCATGACTTATCCAACGAATGTCATACATGTAAAGAATCTTCGCAAGATTTTTATGTACCTCTTTGCAGGCCCACTCAAGCCAGCTCATATAAAACTGCTTCGCGATGCGCATATGCGTTTCTGGGTAGGGCGTTAGATGACGTCTGTTGACAATGTCTTACGCATCTTTCCACTACACTGGATTTATAACACCGTGCGAATCACATTCTTTTTTGATTTTCCGATAATGACTATGTTCGTTATAAATTGCTGAACAAATTATCGGTAACAGTATATTTTCAGAGAAATATCGACTTTTCGTGTACTGAACATCTGGCGGTCTATATTTCTATGTTTAGTCTCGAAGCTCGAATATAATATAATTACAATCAATTTGGTTTTGTTTACTTTTATATTGATTGTCTTCGAACAGCTGCCTGCTAATAAACTCTCTCCAAAAACTTACGGCTTCTCATTAAAATGTATGCCCTTTTTTTCTCATACTTTACTGATCATTAATAGCATTTAGATGATGGTCAGTACTTGATCTTATTAGATATTCTAAAATGAGCACATGAAGTATGATTCAGGGTAATCCAGCTGTCTCATTTTACCAGTGCATGTTTCTCGATTCGAAAAATGAGATAAAACTTCACATATTCAGTATATTCACGATATTCAAGATTTCCTTGAAATTAAGAAAGATTATGTTATTGGAGTCGCTTTGCAACAAGCCAAATATATTCCGAAATTTCCAACCTATAACTGAGCAAGGTGAAAGTAACTCATTTCGATTATTTTTTCAAAATATATATAAATAAAATTTGTACGTCGACCTAATACTCAAATCCTTTGCTATAGTTTTTTCTTTTTGTGTAATGCGACTCCTCCGTTACCAGCTATGTACCTATCTACCTCTAAAGCGTGTATCAACAACTACGACTAGAAACCAGCTTTTAACTAAACAGAGTCCAACAAGTGACCCAATATTCGTGCCATGTATTTTTTAAGCAAATACACTTTTTTCTTCTCTATTTGTAATTAGTAAATTTCTAGTTATTTCTTGGTTAACTAAAATATTTTAAGCCGGCAATCAGTAAAAATTTCTCTATGAATAATTCCGAGTCGAGTACAGCAATATGCGCTGCTCTACCGATGAGCGTATTTGCTGTATGCGGAAGTGCATGATGGACGTCATAACGCGCTAACTGTAATTCGGGCCGAGCCAATATCGGTGCGATTATGTTGTGTATCATTTCCCTAAAAAGATAAGAAGAGATTTCGATTTTTTATTTAAATAATCCGAGCACTGAACAGATGTCACTTGCCTGTAAACCGTGCCCAGATTGGAGTTATCACGTATGGCGGCTTTGCAGAGCTCCAAACGTGCTGAATGCGCTGGCACATAACGATCTTGACTCGAACCACAGAGCAGTATATTCTTGAAATGATGCAGGGTGCTGCGTTGACTAAGACGATATAAAAACGTATTACGTAGATCCGATGTATCACGCATACAAAGCTGTAAAAGTGAGCCGGATTTCTTCCATTTCTGCATGAACCACATGCCTTCAAACGAATAAAGATAGCAAGAGGTTTCAGGTTTAGATTGGAACAAAGAAAGGTGATATTATATTTGAAAGCACTTCGGTACATAACATACATACATCTGAGTTTATTCCTTTCAGTATCTCTCAGCATAACATTTACTTAAGTCATCTTCGGTAACTTACCCATATTGACAAGTCCGCTAGTATTGTATAGCGTACCCAAATGTGGTCCGGACAGCGATAGGAATGTGTGTAGACGCGGTAGTAAAGGACGCATTTGCGAACGCGCCAAAGCGCTACGTACTATAATCGTGCCTAAAGAGTGTGCGACGAATGAAATGCGTGTTGGATTCAGACCACATGTTTCTATATGATATAGTATCTCAGCTACAAGCCTAAAAGATTAGAGATACATATTACTTACTCCTCAATATAGCTCTTAGTAATAGAGTTCTCTTACCGATCGGTCATTGTTTCGAAATCGGAGAAGGTATCCCCTTGATTGCGCTCCGACATTAGAAACTCTAAATTTGCGCCGGGCAAACCGAGCTCAAGATAGGTACGCACTAGTCGCAAATCGGCGGCGTTTCCATCCAGCCCGTGAACACAGATAATTAAATGCATACCGTTGGGCGAAAATGTGCGATACTCATCGCAAATGCTAAAGTACGGCAGTTCGGAAGCCAGCTTAGCAAAGTCCGAATAAATGCTACCGGTATATTTGATCTGTTTACGAAATTCTTCGCGATATTTTTCAAATTCCATGAGCGAAACATTGGAATCTTGACCATTACCGATGACAGCTGTGATTTTTGTGCGTTTAACCAATACCTTGGAACTGTTTGACTTTTGGCTATCGGTTCGCGCCACTATGGCTTTATTTTGGGTGCTGCTGGTATTCTCTTTATTTTCATCCTCGGTAAGTTCAACCGCATGCGTATGTATGGTGTGATCGTTGATGTGCTCATGACTGCGATTATGGCTGTGGCCGTGACCATTGTGGGTCACATTGGTAACACAATTGTTCATGTTGGCGATATGATGATGTGGTGTTGACCTGCAGTGATTATTGTAGAGTTCGCTTGACGGCTGATGGCTATGTTTCAGCTCCAAGATGCTGTGTGACTTTAATAACGGTTTGTTTGTGAATATGGCGGGTGTGGCGATGGGTTTCAGCGATTCGTATATGTGATAGACTGGGTTGTCTATAGCGTGCGAGGGCTCCATGAGTTTTAAAAGGCTTTGGTCTGGGGCAGCGATATCTTTTATTTGGGACGGTTTTGTAAGAAGTGTCGTCGTGGGCGAAGATTTTTGCAGTGCGTATGGATTTTGTGACACCATTGTCGTTGTACGTGACGAACGACTCTGACTCTTCTTTGGACTAATGTTAAAGCTTTGATGGTGCTTAAGCTTTGTTTTAGGTATTTGTGCCGACATCGACTTGATTTCGTTACTTTGTTGTGTTTTCGACGTTATGGACTGTATGGTAGGAGTTTTCTTATTGTTGCTGTGCCTTGTTGAAATTACGGTTGTTGTACAAGTATTTGTGGAGTTCGTTTTTTCTGTCGTAAATTTCTCGTGTGCACCGGGCAATGGTGGATCACGAAATTCATCGGGTGGTAGTAAATCATCTTGGAACTGCTGTGGTGGTGGTACGCGGACATTCTCTAGTGGTGTGTTTTCTTTTAAACTGGCTAGATCGAAATCTGATTTTGATTTCTCGTGTCTGCCATGTTTTAAGCGTTCGCGCCTTGAAGGAATTTCTAAATCATCCGTTTCCGTGGACTCGCCATTCGTTAAATGCTGCAGACGGCGCCGTAAATGCATTTCGGTTCTATTAAAGTCGGGTTTCATCTTCAGGGTTACGGATGAGACCTTACGTTGTATCGATATTTCATTGTTAGCGGCATTGGTTTTGTGATTTTGATTCGCTTGTTTTGCTGTGCCGTGTTTTTTAATGCTCTTTTGAGTTTGCTGATCTAATAGTTGTTGTAATTTAAGACGTAGTTGCTCACCGTTCAGGCGAGTTTCCATGCCATTGATATGTGCTTGTTCGTTCTTTTCATGTTTTTCGTTATTTGTAATGGTTTCCGGACTAGATGGCCCGAGTGAACTACGCCGGCTCGACACCCAACCACTCTCCTCACTTAATGACGACGTGGAATTGCTTAGCACAAGTTTTCGCTTTTGTCCTGTGTAAGCGTCAAATTGTGGCGGTGGCGCCAGATTCGGTAATGATTCGCTAAAACCGCTAGTATTCTGCTCGCTGCTAGTCGTATTCAGCGACTCTAATTTAAATGGTACACTAAGAGAAGACAACATTTTATTGTCACTACTTTTCGAGGACTGCACTTTCGAGGGTATATCACTTTCAGAACTACTGGACTCTTTCTTGAGTGTACCGTTCTTTAACATTTCTTTGAGATCGGAGACACGTACCCGTGCGATTTCAACCGAACGCGGTATTGTTGATGCATACTCTGCTTGGCTGCTTACATCGCCTTGTGACTTCTGACGTAGGGCTTGCGAGGAGCTGCTACGCGGTATAGTGTGTTGCTGTATTGGTGTCGCTATATGCTTTGCGGCTTTTTCTTCGTTCTCTAAACAACCATTTAATTTTCTCGATTTTATGGGTGGATACGAGTTTCGTGGCGGTATCAAGCCATTCCCATTGTATTTTGGCAGCGAGTTGTAATGTGAGCATAGCGTTAGCTGCTTCGGTGAGTTCAGCATACGTATCTCGTGCAAATAATCGAACTTGCCCGTGTTAAATTGCCGGTTAAGTGTGCTAACGTCGGCGCGATTGCTACCATTTACATTTAAATGCAGTTTGGGCTCACAGCATGTACCATCCTCACAGTTTTTGTATTTCTGTCGGAACTCGGAGATATTTCGCATGAGATCTTCAGCCTGTGCTTTATGTTTGCGTGTCGCCGACTGTTCAACCTTGTTAGCCAAGCTGGATACACTGGCGCCATCACTAAAGTGTTTTGAATTTGAATCTGATTGTGTTTGTAAGGAACCATGCATGTTGAGCTGTTGTGTATGGCTGTGAGTGCGTAAAGATGGCGTGCTGTGGACTGTGCCATCCAGTTGATCCAATGACTTGCTGTGACGCGCCGGTAAAGTGCTGTTAGTATTATAACTGCATTCCTTTGCATTAACTGTATCATCGTCAGCCTCAAGTAGACCGGTAACAGAGTGGCGTGACATCTGTCGTTGGTTCAACGCGCTAGAGCTCGGCGCTTTTGACGCTGCTGTGGTTGAAATAGTTAGACTCGCTTGCAATATTTCACCACCTAAAGCGAAACGTGGTGTAAGCACGCCAGCTACACAGCCGGGACTATTCTGATAATCAAAATTTATGGTACACGAACATTCTTTTGAATTGGTACTACGCCCGCTTAGGCTATTAACCGAGTGTGTCTTATCGAGTATGCTGGTTGATGGTGGTGGTGGTAGTTTGGGCGTTGTGTTGCTGCCACTAGAGCTCACCAAACTCTCGTGACTATTTAAATGAGGATCACTGCCGGTGCGACGACGCGTATAGTTCGGCGGTTCGACATAACGATCTTCAAATATCAATGGCAGAGAGCTCGCATCACCATCGATCGGCGTGCAGTGTACTGGTAACGGTGGCAGAGACTGTAGATAACGACTACGACGTGCCATTTCCGCGATGGCCACATAATTCTGATAATTGCTGTCATAACAACCAGCCGCAGAATGACGCGGGTTTTCGTTGACAAAGAAACCTTCCGCGAAACGTTGCACTCGCAGTATATGATGCTTTTTGGCGAGCAGTGTGTGCACGGCCGTTTGTGAGGAGGCGAGCAAGACACGCCTCCAATACATGATACACTCGGCGCAAAGCTGTGCGATGTCAGAATTGGCACGAATCGCGAAATCCTCCTCGGTGTCGTGAAGCTGTGTGAAAGGAAATTGATTGGAATAATTTAGAATTTACCGAGCTTCGTTTAAGCTCTCGGCCAACCTACCTTCGCCTCTTCGATTAAGTGCTGTAAACGCTCAGTGGTATCGTTCTCGCGTAATGGTGGTGAGCCAATTTGATTATTCATGCTCTTCGTAAGCACGGCGCTGAACTCGTTAAGTGTAACCTTAAGATTCTCGATTGCGCCCAACAGTAGGCTGCACACTTCGTGATGTATTTGACGCGATTGTAGTAAGCGTCCAGCGGGACCACCGCTACACTTAGTGGTGCCCACAATTTGTGGCCCGAAAAAGACCGCCTCCAATGGACCGGGCGACATACTGCCACGACAATTCAGCTTGCCGCTCCAAGCTTTCGAGCTTTTAGGTGCGCTGCATTAAAGATACATACGGTATTAGAGACTTTGTTCTAGGCGAAAAATTTATAATACGTTTTTACAGTAAGTGAAGCTTTAAGCTCAGCTTTTGTTTAATTTTAGTTTGGGACACACACACTTACACAAAATTATCGCTAATTGTTGCTCTCTAAGAACAACTTTAATGCCGACTACAGAGTAATATTAAAAACAAAAAAAAAAATACTGGGCGAGAAGTTTATGCTACACGTACAGTGAAATTAAAAGGGAAACAATAATAACAAATATATATGTATATATATGAATTTTCAAAACTCTTAGTTTTACTACTTTAATTTTACTTTCACTATTTTATTTTCAACTAGGCAAAGTTGTACTAAAACTACATTCAAACCAAACAAACAAAACTTAAAACAGAAGAAAGTATGAACCAAAACCGAAAATTTAAAAGGAAAAGGAGAAATCCTAGTGAAATTGAAGGAAAGTAACTAAAAGTGTTATACTTAACGTGGAGAGAGTCTTACCAGAGTTTCATGTAACGGAAAAGTGTTTTCCTTTTTATTTATCGATGGTAAGCATTCATGAGTAGGAGGTCCAAATAAAAACAAAAACAACGTTTGTCGTAAAATTGTTACAGCAAAAATAGGCGATTATGTGAAATGTTGAAGTTTTGGGCCGGATAGGTTTAATTTTTTGTTTGTTTTTTATTTCGAATTTTTTGGGATAAAGAAGTTGGGAAGTAAAACTTAAATTAGTAAAGTAATTTTTGACAATACAGTGGAATATAATATGATATGTATGAGCCGAGTATGTTTTAAGAAATAATCATGGATTAGTAACTGTAAATGAGTGGCGGAATGGTGAGCATTATATCTTGATGCTACTTATGAATCAAATCTATTTAAATTCAATTCAGTAGACAGAGATAGTAAAGTAGTTGATAAAAGGGCGTCACAACTGGAAAATTCAACTATTTACGTGGAGCTAAAAACTAATGAAAACAGATTGGATCTAAATAACTTTGATAATTGAAGTAATGTTTTTTTTTTGGAATTTTTAAACAAAATTAATAGAACCAACTTTAGAACTTCGCGGTTTTCTTATTACTGATAACAATACCTATGAATAATCAGTACATAATATTGATAAGCTTCCCCATACTTATTGAATAACACTAAGTCCCAAGCACCAGGAATTATTTATTATAAAAAGCATTTTTGTCAGTTATGCACTATGCTTACACCAGAAAATTCGTTGCAATTTCGAATCAATATTAAAAAAATAAATTTTAAGATTTGTTGCTTAACGTATACAAAGATTTTTTTCATAGATCTTCATCAAAGTACGAGGGTGTTCGGAAAAGTACTTAGCCTCATCGTCCGATGACGTCACTATCGCAAACGTGCGTTATATTCTGACAGACTGTTAAAATTTCAGCCGAATCGGAATTCAGAAATCGCGTAGTGAAATCAAAGAGCGTTGTATGTGATGTATACGATGACTTTTCTGCTTCGCTTGGGGTCATTAAAAATTGGTTTAACGACACGTTTGCTTTTAATTAAATATTGGACGTGAGAAAGAGTAGGGAGTAAGGGTAGTGTTTGACTCTAAAGTTTCATTTCGATATCATCCACGAGACATGGATCCACTGCTAGACACCAGTGACCCAACTCTTCACTGCTTTAAGCGTCATGCGTGCCGATATTGTCCGCAAGAAGTCTAAGGAATATAGCGGAGAAGGTGAATTTTAACGGTTTGAAGGTTTAACGGTTTGGAGTTATCTACCTATTATATATATTATTTATTCTATATCTAGGAGTTTAAAAAATTACTGACGTCAGTTCATAACTGCAATTAGCCTTAATATAGGATCTAGTAAAAAGAAACCCATTATTTTTGCATTTAATTGAAGGCATATTTGGCATAGTTGGAATGAAGTGATTTAGGCCAAATTAACACCATTTCGTTAGATAACTTATTGTCATTCTGCAGGTAATTTCATATGTCATTTTCATATAAATCCTCGTATATTGGCAAAGAATTGTGACAGTCGATTTTCACAAGCATCTCTTGAGGACAATTTTTCACCAGCAAAATCATTTGTCATACACAGGTACAGGTAGTAATTACTTGATGCCAGGCCTGAATTATAAGTTCATTGCATAAGAACGACCCAACTAAGCTCTTGGAGTTTCTGGCGAACCGCGTTTGAAATGTGTGTTCGGTGGTATGGAACACAATTCTTCTCCTATTGGTGTTTGACTGTTACACTACTAGAACCATAAACAATATTCACATTTTCAGCTAGGGCGTTTTCGCCTTTGCAGTAGAAAAATTGTAAAATGTGCCGTATCTTACCCTTACTGGTGGTGCCCAGCTGTGACGCGTGCTCAAACAATACTGAGTCAAGCAATCACAAAACTGTCTGATAAGTTGGTTTAATATGAAATCTTAACTTTCTTAGATTTCGTTATACTAGACGTTATTTAATGTATACATGTATATACTATAGCTTATCCGGTTGACTTTATAGCAATTAAATCCCAAACTTAGTTTTTCCTTGCTTTTTAAATATTCAATAGTTTTTCTTATATTTTTCATATGCATTTTTCTATACAAATCTTATTTATATCTTATCTATAAAGTAAGTATATTATTAAAATTGTCTGAATACTGTATCCTTAGGGAAATACTTCTAAATTATTAAACTCTTGCAAATCCATTAATTTATTCATTGATAACTACTTATCTGAATGTACTCGAAAATGACCGGAAGTATCAATTTAATATACTCAACTAATTTTCAATACGGGATTAAAAGTGTTCAAAGTACTTTAAGAGATTAAATAGACACTTGAGGTTTTACAACAATTCGGATTTATTTGTAAGCATGAACTTTCTTAATTCTCCTCTGTGAGCGATATGTTCAAGAGAGCAGTAAATGGCGAAGCGGTTGTACAAGTATATATAATATACCAGACAACACAAACTACATGCAAACATAGTACTAGCGAAGGATTTTAATTATTCAGTTGTGAGGGTGTGTTCGTGTGCTTGCAATATAAACTTTTTCAGCATCAAACGTCGGAAAATTTGAATACGCCAAGGAAAGTTGAAAGGAATAACCTGTGGCAAGGCTCTCGTTTGACGTCTGCGAACAGTTGTAGGCACGTGAATGTGATCCAATGGCATGTATATGTGTGTGTGTGTGCGGTTGGAGGATGAAACGCAGCGCAGCGGCAACAATTGATTTAAGTCATTAAAATTAATTGCAAAACAAGTAAGGAAGTCGGTGAGTCGTTATGTCGGTCGGAAAGGAAATACCAAATAGGATTAGAGTGGGGCAATAGTTGGTCGAAGTGTAGACAGACATGAGACTAGGAGACAAGAAGGCTAAGAGACTAGGGACACGCGCGTTGCCAAGGATGCGCCTTGCCATTTATACTCGGATAGAAAGTTGTAGACACATGTTGGAAATTACAAGTGAGTCTGCGGCTGTGAGTGCTGCCCACTCACCAGGGGAGAGGGAATGGTGCAGTTGTAGCTGGTGCCATGCGTTGCTAATGAACGTCAATGCGTGGTACATGACAAGGCAAACGTGTGTGTAAGCGCTTTAATGAGTTGCAAATGCCTTCGCTATTCCATTTTTTTTTTGCGTTATTCGCCTTCATTTAGTCACTCGTGCACTAGCTCTCACTGTTTTTCATGATCATAAGTATATGATGATAGGAGGAGGCACAGCCGGCACTTGAATTCATTCATGGCATGAATGTTAATTTTTTATAAGTACACGTGCCGTCGCAGACGTGTGGGAACGATTATATGTATATACGCACATACATATGCACGCAGTTGCACTAAGAAGATATATACAAACATATATGCTTGGTAATAAGTGATTTATAAAATTGCAGGTAACTTTTCAAATTTTGTGGACAACGCACATGCAATTCTGAACTTATTTTTATGTTGAAGAGCATTTTTCAATACCTCTATGCGCTTGATTGTCGAAATTTTAGAGATTTACATATATTGTATAAAACAGATATAGCTTAAACAAGGTATATTAACATTGCCACGATGTTTGTAAAACCCTATAAAATGTATGGCACATATATTTAAATCATCAGCGTGTCGAGCCGAGCCTATTTAGCCATGTCCGTCTGTTCGTCCATCCGTTTGTCTGCATATCTAGTCTTTCAGTTTTTAATATATCGATCTAAAATTTTGCACACATTTTTTTCCCCCAAAAAGCTGCATATTCGTCTGAACCGCCGATAGCGAGCCACTATAGCATATAGCCGCCATACAATCTGAACAATCAGAATCAAGTTGAGTGGAAATTCTTATCTAAGCCAATATTGCAATCTTCGAAAAAATAGTTTAGATCCGATCACTATAGCATATAGCTGTCATACAAAACTTGCATAGAAAACCTTCTTATTTGACGAGATATCTTCACGAAATTTGGCATGCAATATTGTCTAAAGCAATAATGCTATCTTCGAAGAAATGGTTCAGTTTGAATAACTGAATAATCGGAATCAAGCTCTTTCTCTAATTTTCTGTAATCCATCATTTATTGATTTTGAAATAGTGTAAATATTTTCTTTAACCTGAAGGATGTAGCTTTGGGTCGCGGACTAGTAAAAAGAAAGCACAGGTGATATTAATGCTTTGAGACTTTATTGAGTCAAATTCTTATGAAATATCGTATTGAGTCTTTAATCAGTGCTAAAATATAGGCCGGTTGTGGTGTGATGGGTTGACGTACCATTGGTTTGAAAGTCTACTGAAGTCTGAATCCTCGGAGTGCTAAATTGTTTGCTGAGCTTGAGAATACGGTTGCTATGGAAAATAATCGGATTGACCGGTCTTTGATAAAGAAAATCGGTAGTGAGATGTCCTCAAGTGAAAAACGTTGACTACAGTGTCTTTAAAGAGGTTCGATGACCATGACAATTCAAGGCAAGTTTTGGTTTTAGACTACCGCGGTTCGACTTTGTCTACTTGTATATTATCTATAATATTATTGTGTCTAAAATTTATTATTAGCTATTTATGCCGAATCCAATCTAAACTACACTAATGGTCTGTAACTGATAATATACAGAACAACATAAATATATTTAAAAATTTAGTAAGTTTTCGAACTTGCTGCAAAAGATTAAGCAAAACCCTGATCGAAAAACAAAAAATAATTATGTTAGAGAAATTCCCAATTCCAATTTACTACTCTTATCTAATTATTTCAAAATCCGACTTTACGATTTACATATCTCATTTGCATAATTTGTTTGTAAATATTGAGATGCATAAAGGACAAGGCAGGTGCATGAGCAAATGTGCACACATCAGCAGCTATGCAGCCACAAATTCCACATTCGCAGCCATCAGCGGTCGGTTTATGCTCGGTATACAGCTACGACATGGCATGGTCGTTTAGAGAGTATAATGATCTTGTATGAGGCCAAAGCGCGTTTACAAACAAACATAGCAGCATGTGTGAAATGCCACAACCGGAATGTGCGTGGCTTTGCCTTTTAATCTCTTTTTTCATGACTCTTCAACATGCCCCGTTGCAGCCGTTGGGTCAGGAGTCTGCCCAGTTTCACATTCAACACATTCACACATAGACTCCGTGTAATACTCACTTTATGTAGGGCTGATGCAAAGCCACTAAACTGGCGTGGATGCCAACGCTAATGGCGGCCAAGTGGAAGTAATCGAACAGCACCGGCAGATGGTAATGGAGCCCTCGACCTGGATGGAAATTCAGCTGTAAGGTGCGTGTGGAGGCCAATGATAATGCGCTGGTGCCGTTTTGTTCACCAAACCACAACTCCAATTGCAATGAGAATTCCGCACGTTCAATGGATTCCTTCAAGTGACGGCTGTCAACTGGAAAAGTGAAGTGAGCAAAAGAGAAATGAGAAAATCGAAAATTAAATGCTTACCAAAGAGAAAAGCGGATTTAAATACGAAATGGCATTGCTGCTTATAAGTAAATTAATTATGATTTTTCTTTGAGGTAATTAACATTAATTGGGAATTAGAATTACAAGTGTTTTAGCATTTGAGAGCTGTACTCAATTAAACTCAGAAACTTCAAATGACATTTGTCTAAAGTATAACTAATATATATTAATTTACACGCTTCTTCCTGCGATGAAAGAATTATTATCACCTAACTTAAAAATAGAGAGGAGAAAATTATTGTAATGGTATTTCTGATACAAGTGGTTTGACACGTGGAAAAAATATTTTTTTTTTATATCTCGACGCCTTGTCATATTGATTTGCGGATCACTTATCCACACACGACGCTAGCAAACTTACAGAAGTTCATCAGTTAACGGTAAGGTAAATTTAGCAGTGATAACTTTGGTACTTCAGCTTGAGATATTTAGAAACATATCAAGCTGTAGGCTGTATTAATAATTCATTAGTTTATAATAAGAACTTTGAGAACTGGCTATTAGTTGCTTGGGTTTCTTAAAGGTCGTTTTTAGATATATAGGGTTAAAATTTATTTCCTATGAAGAGGATCTGTGTGATCAGAGCCGTCAAAACTCAAATGAGTCACTAAATGTGCAAAAGCTTGTAAATCTTCTTGTTTTAATCAAAAATGTATTCCTACAGATATTCTGAGAGTAAATATCCGAGATACTCAATATAAATGTCATGTAGGCCACTTTTGAATTAAAAAAACTTTCAAATCGACTTAATAACGAAACGAAAATATCTTTATGATGATCTTTTCTTTTGACCGGTCAGTTTGAATGACAGCTATATGCAATAGTGTTCCAATTTTAACATTTTGTTCGGAGATTTTAGTCGCGTTGAGCAATAATCTATGCCAAATTTTGTGACTTCAATACAAAGACTTGAATTGATCGATCAGTTTTTTTGGCAGCTATATCCTATAGTAGTCCAATTCGTCGGCTCCGATATATCAGCAAGTTCTTGGGAAAAATAGAACTTATGCAAAATTTCAGTTTGAGATCTCAAAACCTGAAAGACTAGTCCTTGTATATACAGAAAGACGGACATGGTTCAATAGACTTAGCTCATTACGATGATCATTTATATACCTATATACTCGTACCTTATAGAGTCACAAACATTTCCTTCTGGGCATTATAAAATTCTTGGCGAACTTACAAGGAGAGATTAAAATTTATTAGCTACTAATTCGAAAGTATGTATACTCGTATGCAAATATAAAAAAAGCTAATAATGAAACAAAATTAATTTCGCAATTAGATATGTTTGCTAAGCTAACTCGGATAACTATAGCATATAGCTGCCATATAATCTGAACGATTGGAATCAAGTGCTTGTGGAAAACTTTTGTATTTCACAAGAAATTTGGCATTGGTTATTGCCTTAGGGTTAGAAATTGTTCAGATCGGATCACTATAACATATAGCTACCATACTAACTGACCGACCAAAATCAAGTTCTTATAAGAAATTTTTTGTATTTGTGAATGGTTTTATAACTTCGGTGCAAACGAAGTTAACATTTTTTCTTGTTTCAATATGAAAATGCTTTCTGCATGTTTCTTTTTCAAGTACTTTCCAATAAGACTTCGAGTTCTTAAGACAAATTAAAGCTTTTGCTAACGCAAATAAGCTCTAAATCCGCACGAAATTGTCCCGTAGCTCTCAAAAAATACTCAAGTACTTTAAATGTACATTACGATATTTATAACAGCGTTCATTTCATTTCGGCGGGTGAAACTGAAGCATTGCAGACGACTTAAGTTATCATTCTCCATTTTTTATTTCATTCAATTGAGGGTAATGTACTATTCGGTTTTCTCAGATTTGTCTTGGCAACATCAACACACCACGATGTGAGTCCACTTAACTGCGTATATTCATGGTGAGCTAAATAAAGGCCCTATACGGGGTACATGCGTATAACTATAATACATATGTATGTATATGTTTGTGATATAAAGTGTATTCTGTGTGCATAAATTTGTTATTTGCGAACTTATGCATATTTGCGCAAAGACGGCACACATGCGCATGTGAACAACCATGTAGAGATACATATGTGTATGTGTACGAGAGTGGTTCGTATGGGCTTAGCCTAATTTGTTATAGAATCGTAGAACAAAATCGGACCCGTAGTTTTTGTTTGAAGCAGACATTTCAGCAGATTTTATAAAAATAGAGAGATCAATTCACAGCAATGTTTAAACTCAATTCGAAGGAATTTAGCTTAATTTCAGAACTGTCAAAGAATCATGGATTCATTGGTACACATCAGAGGCCAAGGAACAGTCAAAACAGTAGACTTCATCGGCGCCATTCACTGCGCCAAAGAAGACGAATACTGTCTTATCGGCCGGAAAGGTGATGGCCACCGTTTCCTGGGATTCACGAGGTGTAATCTACATGAACTACTTGGAGAAGGGTAAAACTGTCACAGTGCTCTACTTTTTTGAATTATTATGCCGATTCGATGCCCAATTACAGAAAAACAGTCATATATGGTGAAAAAAATTAGTATCGCTGGGTCAAGTGATCGAACTAATACGGAACTATGTTGAAAAATAAATTGCCATTTTTTCTCAAAATTTATGGTTTTCTTATGTGGGCTAAGGACTTATTCGAACGTGTTTGAAAGTAGAATGCGACGCACTGGCATCAAATTTCTGCACTCATATGTGCATTAGAGTACTCAAATAAATTCATTTTTGCATTATATATCTACATATGTACATATACTAGTGTGTGCGTTTTCTGGAAAACATTTGTATAGAAAATAAATCTCCAAGATAGAATGGCGGATAAAAAAGTGAAAATGCCAGTTGCATGAGAAGTGTCTGTCTGTCAAACGGTCTGTTCGTCTCAGAAAGGAGTATTTTATACTTCAAATAATACAATAGAACACATACATATATTATACGATACATAAATGTATATAAATTATGACAAGCATATTATTGCGTTGTGTTGTGGCTGTGGGCGGACGGTTCTATCAACCGCAGTCACCAACAATTCCATGCAACTATTGTATTCGCACAACAGCAATAAGAAGTACAACAACAATATAAACAGCACTTACGTCAGTTGGTGGCACTTGTTATGCCTGAGTACCACATGAGTATTTCAATATGTGTGAAATTCATTTAATGTTTCCCTTACAAAGAGCATATAATTTAAGTACAACTTTCTTTCTACTCGAATATTCGAGCGTTTACGACTAATTAACCACTTCTCGAAAGGAGGTTGCCACATATTTTATATATAATTGTACATTCATATGTTAAATTTTCAACTTTTTTGGAATTCAAGACCAATGTGTGTGTAGATATTTATTTTCTGCTCGGAAATATAAGGCGCACAATCTTTTATATTGTATATCTATCTTCTTTTATGCTTGAGATATTATATTTAATCTGACGCTTTGTAACGTTTTTGTTACAAGCACCTCGAGCGTTATAAACTGCGTTTTTCAAAAAGATGTCAGGGAATCGAATCTGGAGATCTGGGGACAACAGAGAATTTTTGTTGCAGAAACTTTAGGGTTAGATACTCGGCGTGGCAAGGCATGTCGTATTGTTTAAACTACTAACGGGCAATGTTGGGCAGATATTTTGCCCAAAAATTATTAGCATTAATGGCTAGATTTTTTCTAGTACGGGAGCTATGAACTATGGGCTTGGCGACTAGTAATTTGTATAACAATATGTGTGTTCCGGTAATATCGATTTCAGATTCCGAAGAAAAGTGTTTTATTGCATATATGTTGAAGGGAAGCTGAAGTTTTGACAACACAAAAATTACCAAAAATCGGTGTTGTTCATGACGTTTGCGAAATTTCGTTGAACTTCTGTTGCTTCAACCTTTTAAATATTTTTCTATCTTTAGCCTTTAGCTGCTGAACTTACTATATTGTATAGACTTTCTTCTCCATTGTTCTTCAGTGCTGAATCGGGAGAGTACGAAGTATTTTTCGCCGATTCTCTTATATTTCTGCAAAATGAATTAAGATCGGCTACTGTACTGTAATAGCTTAGTACTAAATCTAACGCTTTTTATTCGAAAAACATGATTGCGCAATCCCAAATTTTCATATGACTCAAGCTATGAATTATATGACTAACACTTTTGGATTATTTTTACTTACATCAATTTGAAATGAGATAAACAAAAACCCCAAAAAAAATCCTTGACGACCTTTATAAAGAAACAAGATAGTTGGAAAACTTTATAAGAAATGAATATGTTGATTGCTTTATCTCGAAATTACGAGTTTTAAATTATTTCAAAAATGTATATGGGCGCAGTGCAATCCTATGCATTAATCTAATTTAAGTGGAGCAGTTTGAATGAAGAATACAAGTATACGAAGACAACAGTAATATTTCTATAAATGTATCTTATTAACATATTCATTGCTTTAGGTGCTCGTACAACATTCCGAATATGCTAGTTCTTCAACGTCTTCCATTAGCTTATTCTCTTGCACTTTTTTTAGGATTAAACTATGTATTTTCTGGCACTGCCTTCATTAGTTTTAAAAATACGAATGCTGCGAGAAGCAAAATATTAGAATACTTTTCGGGCTTAGAATAGTCAACTTTGTGTAAATGACATTTTTATAGCAGATCCTTGTTTCCATTGTAAGTTATCATACAGAGTGTTCAAAGTGTTCCTACATACATTTGTGAACTCTTTAAATTACATCTTCCTTATATTAAGCATATGCATTTTAATCAAAAAACCAAAAACACAACAACCATAAACATAACTCGGGCAAAGGTAATAAAATTTGCTGGCACTTGTTGAATATATATGAAATGAAATGTTAGCTACCTGAAAAATTACCCAACACCCTCTTACTCAAATTTGCCACATTTATATATCAAAAGTACACGTGTATACTTGTAATTGTAAATTAAATTACGGTTGTGCTTGTATTTAAGAATATGGCACTTTAAAATATATTTTATTTCGCGGCCATTTTACATAAATTTCATGCCGGCAAAACTTATGCTAAGGTCCTCCACGTCAAAGGTTTTCAAACATAAGTACTCTCAAATAAAATCAAGGCTTGAACCACTTTGAATTGTGCGTATTTTTCGCTTCCACAGCCACAAGTCCCTCACATAAACACACACACCTTCTCTTACTTATAAGAGCATAAAAAAGAAAATGGAGAATATGACCATTAATATTTTATGAGCGCATAAAAACGTTAGACGAAGTACCTTTTGATACTTACGGTCGAGTTGCTAAATTGCAGTGTGAGTGGGTTGTAGAATATATTGTTATCGTTGCGAGTACCTATTATGTTTTGTAGAATTTTTAGCAACGTTTATGATTGCTTGGAATTTTGTTGTAAAATTTTCTAAGAACTGATTTTCTTTGGTTTGTAAATGTGGTATGATTAGTCATGATGCCTGCTCGTTGGTATTATCTCTCACAGAAACTTTACTTTTTGAAGCAAAACTTCGGTGGTAAAACTATTCGAATGCAACCAAATCGTGTAACGCAACAAAATTGCGTCACGTTGACAGTAGCGCCACCATAACAATGACAAAAGGATTTGAAAAGTACTTACTCCGTGTCCCAAATATATACAAGAAATATTAAAAAGTTACCACCTGTTATTTAAATGATATTGGAAACTGGAGAAGTCAAAGAACGTTTGCAACTGAAAGTATTTGAAATTTTATTGTAAAATATAATATTATACACTATACGAGTATATAATATTGTAATATAAAGAATAGATTTGGCAAAGAAATACACCTCACTGAAAAGTTTTCGGAAAACTTAAAGCTCAAAAATATTTTTTGATCCGGGTGGCTCCCTGTTTATATATTTCAAATGAATGAAATTAATATGATATCAATTATTACGATATGGACGTCAAACTAAATGATTTCAGGAAGGTGAAAGCTGAAAATAAATATGGCTGGTGTTGCTAACTGATTATAATAACCAATTGATACCATAGGTATAATAGGTATATGAAAACATATTACTTTATGCTTGTACTAAAGAGGTTCAAGGCAGATTTCTGTGGAAAATATTTTTGAAAAGTGTTATTCCCTGTTTGAAAGCTTTAAGGAATGAAGTTATAAGATGACGTAATACTGAAATATATTTACTAGATAGTTATGAGAAAGACTTCAAGCTTTGTGCTACCAACAACGGGTGTTCAACACTTGTAAGAATTTCATCAATCAGACATTCACTATAATTAAAATTTAACGAAATCGGGAAAAAGAACCGAATATTTACATTTTAATATACATTTCTGTTGATTTTAAAGAGGTTTTATACCTAAACCTATCTACAATATATGGCTAATTTAGTATCCCCAGAATATATATATGGCTATATAAAAATCACTGAGTACCGCAGCTATCTTTTAGATGACAATTCCATCGTACCCTTTTTGGGTGCAATTTACTAAATAATACTAATTTAAATACAATTAAATCCGATTACTTGGAAACAATCTCGCTTTCTCTGTAATTAAAATTAGATGAAATTTCGCTGGGCGTATTTGCAACAAACCATTTAATTCATTAAATTTGCGTATACTTGCCGGCACTTGCCACCATATTTCACTGAAGCTCTAAGTCACCGCAGAAGCCGCGCACATACGCGAGTATGCCTCGGCGCGTCACTCGGCAGCCTGCAGTGCTTTGACAGTCGAATGTCAGACGCAGTAATTTCAATAATGCGGCAGTTGGCACGCACTGCAAGTCGGTGCCTCATGCTTGCATGCCTTAGTGGAAAGGCGGCGAAAAAATTGAATATTGTGCCAGCACACGCGGCGCTGCTGGCACAGTTTTAATGCTATTAAATGCCAAAATACAGCACTAGCTATGTATGTACATACTCGTGCATATATATGTATACACCTTTAAGATTGGGAACTGTTTGCTTTGACTAAATTTAATTTGGTTTATAATGTTACAACAGCATATTAAAGGGTCTATAGTTGTAGTTAGTTTTTGGTTCGATTCTTCTCTCTAAAGTTGGCAGGACGAAGGCAGCTAACCGCGGCATACTGCTTTCATACAATTTTTCAACAAATTTTGGAGTTTATACATTTGAAAACATGTTGTTTCATGTTTCAACTTTCAATATTTTATTATCTTTTTTCTTTTAGGCACGATATGATTACCCCGTTATAACAAACATCAGATAGCTAAACTTTTATCTTTCTGATACTAATAAACATCAGACTGAAATTAGAATACTACAAGTTTCATTTCATGACAGCGATCTTAAATGAGTCGAAATATCCATATAACACAGGAGAGATTTTCCTTACCATACGTTCAGCTGGACTTAGTCCGAATCCTACCAGAGTCACACGGTTACACATGATAATGGTGGTTTAGTTTTTAGACCACTCTTAAGTCTAGTAGGTGGTCTGCGTCTATAAAGAAGATTTTAAGGCATCAGATTACCTCTGCGTAATAACCTTCTAAATACCAGCTTAACGCATGAAAGTTGCACAACAGACCCCAAATTTTTCTTCGAGGAATTTCGTAGTCACATTCAAACAGTGTTACCTTTTTCTGTTAAACGCTACCATAAAGAACCACAAATGTCTCCCTAAGAATCCACACTAATAAGCGACCACTTTTGTCCCAATAAGGTCGTAAATAGAATAGAATGTAATGTATATCATAGGAGCCAACGACGTACCTATGTATCGGACAACTCAAAATAACCCTATTAGCCCACGACGATGTGTTCACATTTACTGGACAAGACAATCACATTGCATCGTAAACAAAGAGCTGCCAAACACACACTACTTGACATATAGCGATCAAACTTCACCAAACTCGGTAAATATTTCGATTTCGGTGGTTTACTTCGAAAAATGTTGAAACTTTCCTCTTATATATGACTGAATCTCTCGAAAAACTAGTTGGTTCAATACTCAGAAAAAAAGTAATTTTTGGCTGTATAATATAATCACACTAAAATTAAATATATATATATATATATAATATATACTTCATTATGCATCAGCAATGTAAAGTGGAATTATTAAAATTGTAATTTAAATTAATTTTTAAAAATCTTGCACTGAATACAAAGTTGCATATACGAGTATATAAAGCTCCTAATTATTTCCTTTTTCAAGCATCAAAACTCTGAAAGTACTCATGCCGCATGCCATATGGTAATAAATCTTAAATTATCACTCACCCAACAAGTGTGTGCGAAAATGTATAACATCGCGCAACGTCACTTCCTCATTCCGGTAGAGGATCTGAAAGACGCGCGATGCGCCACAACCGTTAATTATGCATGCAGGTCCCGACAATAGGCTGCCGCCGTTCTGCAACAGGCTTGGCACTGCATCCTGTTGTTGTTCACGCGGCTCCTGCAACACATCGCCATCGCTGTCGCCGCCGCCATCACCGCCACTGCTATCGCCACTATTGCAACCATTTGTGGTTGGTGGCGCCTGTGTGTGGATTTCCGCCGTGTGAGCATTGTTCTGCGGTGTGTCTGCTATGCTGGTCTCCACCTGAACAGGGAGGCGTGGAGAGACACGTAGACCGCAGCGCACCTGATAGAGTCTGCGGAAAAGTTGTAAATTAATACAAAACATATAAGTAAACAGAAATTTATATATACATATGTGAAATTTATATATAAAATATATATTTGTGAAATAACGTGTTTAAAATGAGATTTCCCTTTGAAGTGTGTGTACATGTGTGGCAAGCAGTAACCAGTGAATAAGAATAAATTTACGGCAGCACACATTAATTTCAGCACCATTCTATCTTCCATCAGCAGCTTGCTTAAATCGCAGCGTATTTGTCAATTGCCTGTTCAACGCTCTCAGCGCTCACATGAGATATGAGATTTTTGGCCTTTCAACGGCGGAAAACATGCTTTCGTTTTTAATCTCATCAATGCAATGTTGTCGCTGCGCGTCAGATGTGCAAATCCCATATAAGCACTCGCCGTTGATCCCGACAAATAGACTGACTGGCAGCACAGTCGGCGAAAAGTCAGACGAAACGAAAACGCAACTGATAAGTAGACAGATGGACGGTGGTACATGGCGTATGGGTAGCGTACAAATTTATCGCAAGCTGAGTATGGGTGTGTGTAGGCGTATGTAATCACTCGCTGTTGTACGAAAAAACATTCTTGGCTAGTCGACTGTGTGTACTTTTTATAAACACACAAAAAAAAATCACAATAACAACAACGTCAACTACAACATTGAGTGGGAACTGCAAATGTCAAATTATTTGTTATGGTTGCTGTTGCTGACATATGTATTTCATAAACAAGCAAGTGATTTGCCGAGTGCTTTGCCGCCTCGCTGTTATGTTGTTGTTGGTGTGTGGTGAACGTGTGAAGCTCACAGCTGACTGCGTGGATACATGCCACACACATGCATATGGACATGACGGCTGCCGCCACTAAGCGTTCGATGCTCAGCCACTATGCCTGCGTTTGTTGCCATTTAACTTGCTGTTGTTGTTGCTTTTTGTTTTTAAATAGCGTTCAAGAACGTAAATGTCAAATGAAATGGACTAAAATTAAACGTTTTGGCATCGTGGGAAAATTCAAACAAGCGTGCAACGTCGGGTACGCCGGTGGAGTGTCAAAGAGTAGAAAGAGAGAGAGAGAGAAGGAAGGAAAAGTGTCCCAAGAATTTCCTCGTTGGCTTTAATTAATTTTTCATTTTATAAGGCAGTTCATAAGCGTTTGTCACTGGAATGCTTAAATCGCTGTCAGCGCTTTTGAGCGACATTGCCTGCAGCTGACATACTCGTTAGCGCTGCACGAAGTGTCCTTAAACATTTATGGATTGTTATTTTTGTTAATGGAAAAAATTGAGGAAATTAACAGTGTTCGCTCTGAAATCAAAGAAATCCGTCCTTTTAGGGACACCGGATATTTTGATGGCAAACCGCGATTTTTCGATTCTTAAATATTTATTATTTGAATAGTTCAGTCTTCAAGATATTTAAAGAAATGCGTTACTGAATTACAGAATATGAACAATTTGTCTGGGTTCGCGTACCACACAGACAGACGAACAATGACAATCCAATGGTAAAATGGTGTCGTATGTGGAGTACACGTGGTTTTAATCCGAATTTGTTCATTTAACGATTTTTTGCTTATAACAGGAGAATGTGAAGGCAATACCAGAGGTGGCTCAAATCGATTAGTTATTGGAGTATGAGATTTTACCTAAAAGTGGATCCTGGCACGCCTATTGTGCATTTTTTTTAACGATTCACATTCATTTACGACTTTTTTTTCCTTTATAGAGTTTTCACACTTTAAATATTTTTTAACATAACCTTGTATTAGCGATCGACATGGTTATAAGCCAATTTCAATTGTTTTTTATGGTAACTGCTTATACAAACAAACGAACTGAACTATTCTACTCCGCACAACATGTTACGAAGGTATAAAAATCAGTACACCGTTCCCAGCGGGCGTGTATACAAAGCTAACCGCTAGAAATTTTTTCCTATGTAAGTCTGACGCTATTTTTACAACACGAAAGAGTTCAATAAATAAATAATTTGTATAAAAATGTGTATGCGAGTATTATACGAAAGGCCATCGTGTGTACTCGCCCTTCATTTATTCGATTATACTTATGCAGTTATTTCTTTCTTTCTTTATTTGTTGGATTCAAATCATTTCTAAATTTAGCTTTCAATAGAAAACTCCAATAACAAAAACGAAATAAATATGTATAATTTCTTTGTTATAGTTGCATTTACATAAATACATACATAACTACTTTTGGACAAATAAAAAACAGTTATTCATAAATAGCAGGTATTATTACTATTGGAGTTCATTTTGGATCGAACGAATATTAAAATATTTTGTTTTTTATAGAAAATATTTTTTTTATTCACATACAGTAGAGAAATGAATTCACGTGCGAAATACCAAAGGAGAAAATAAGTAAAATGTATTTTTTAATTAAAGCTGAGTCAATAGTATATGATGTACCATATATCTAATCTATAATCTGTTCTGGAGCAATGTGAATGAATACAGAAATATATTTTTAGCTTTCAGCATAAGTTGTAGCTATTTATTATAATCATTGAAATGATTTCAATACATACCTAAGTAAATTTTAATACTCTCGCAACATGTATAATAATTTTGTTCACCTAACGGTTTTTTGTAACACTTATTCGAGATAGATATAGGGGAATACATATACATGTAATCGATCATGATAACGAAGCTAGTTAAATTCATTAGAAAAAAGTAGATGAAACTTAGAACACGTGCTCCTTGATACAAGCAAGATTGGTATTGCAAATAGGCGCAATCAGACCAATGCCACGCGTAAAAAATATCGTTAAGTAAAAAACCTTTAAAGTGCTATAACTAAACTGCAAATTAACATACAATACTGAAATGTAATACTAGTAGAGAGGGGCATCTTTGGGCGGAAATATTTTAAGTACAATTTCAGCTAAGCTGAGTACAATATACATCTTATGTTATATTTAATTGTCGAAACGGAATTAATCGGACTACAACCACGTCTTATTCCAATATATCACAAACTTTAATGCCATATGATTCTTTCAATAAAGTTATAAACTTTGCACAAATAGTGGCTTTAAAGTATTCCATCTCACGTACACAATTTATTTAAATCAGACCTCACTGTTCTAGTCCCCAAATACCGAAAATGTTGACCACAGTGCTTATGTCTGATTTTTTGCGGAAAATAACCACCTTATATAAAAAATTTCGAACTTCTGGTTCATTTTACACGATACATATCGGTCAATATGTAAACTGTCGTAGTAAACTTCAGGGAACATCTTTATCTTATGTTATATTTAATTGTCGAAACGGAATTAATCGGACTACAACCACGTCTTATTCCAATATATCACAAACTTTAATGCCATATGATTCTTTCAATAAAGTTATAAACTTTGCACAAATAGTGGCTTTAAAGTATTCCATCTCACGTACACAATTTATTTAAATCAGACCTCACTGTTCTAGTCCCCAAATACCGAAAATGTTGACCACAGTGCTTATGTCTGATTTTTTGCGGAAAATAACCACCTTATATAAAAAATTTCGAACTTCTGGTTCATTTTACACGATACATATCGGTCAATATGTAAACTGTCGTAGTAAAATTCAGAGAACATCTTTATCTGGTAATAATAGGGATACTCAATTTGTAAGCGGT